TTCTAAAGGCAGCTGACACCAAAGTAAGTAGTGCCTGGAACCAAGCAGAAAAGGGTGGAATGTTAAAAATGTGAAGCCAGAATATTTATAGCTCTCTGATAAAGAAGACGTTGTAGGGGGATCTTTTTCATTTGTAAGGTGCTGAAGCATGTTCTGGAATTCCATGCCACTTGAATGGGCCCCCAGACATTTCAGAGCCTGCAGAACCAAGGTCTCCTTCTTGGCCAGTGTTCCCTAAAGAAAGGGGTAACTATGACCCAGATCACATGTAGCTTGTAGAAAGGAATCTGTAGTGAGATGTAGTTCTGATGAAGGGAATGAGATCTCAACAGACTTCTGAGCTCCCCATTATCAAGGAAATTATATCTTTGTTACTATTTTATTCTCTGTTAGCTTATATTTGGTGTTTAAATACATATTGCTCTGGAAACCCTTTCTTGATTTTCAATCCAGGTAATCTGCTTTATAGGGTTTATTTCCTTGTACTAAGATAGACTAAATTCAATAGGAAATATTGGGAAACCTCAAAATTTTAGTGCATTTAAGTACTTCTTTCAGGGTCATCACACAATAGCATATATGGGATTAACTACATTCTTATTTAAAAGATCCAGTCTTATCTAATAGAAGGACCACCTTTTACTAAGATTATAGACTACAGATGGAAGTATGGACTTTTCTCTTGAAGCCATTCTAAAGTGTAATATATTTTCTTTCCCCACAACTCTGTATTTTAGTGATTAAACAGTAAGGTTTAGCTACAGATTTGTAAATTGGTAAACTTGATTATCAATTAAACAAAAAGAATGTTTTTAAGATAAACTTCTAATTAAAATATAAGCTCAAACTACTAAAAATAATAAACTCTTAAATATTTGTAAGGAAGAAAATTGAGAAATTTAAATACACTGGCAAAGAGATATAAATTCTTTTCGAACTCCTACTTTATATTACTGCTGATACATAAAATTTGAAGTATTATCTGTTTGCTACCATTAAGGAAAGACAACACAGACATCCAAACAAAGTAGTTTGTTTTATTTTAACAGTAGTCCTCTGGGTATTTACAGCTAATTCTTTTACATTTTTCTCAAGAAATTTTTGTTTAGTGTGCATGCAAAAACCAAATGAATTTAAACTGGCTTCATTTATAAGAGTATGGGTCACTTTAAACCATTCCTACACCCTAAAGTGTAACACTGATTTGATGAAAAGACAAAATATACAAATTGTATATTGTCCAAAATCACATTCCACCTTCTAAAAATGAACTTGAGAGTTCATTCTAAGCAAGAATGGGCAATCTTGGTCTCCAAGGATAGTTTGAGGTGGATCGTTGATGATCTTCTGCCATCTGGTGGACATTAATAAAAGTGTCACAAGGTAGTTTAAAATGATGTAGTCTAAATCTAATTTAAAACACATAGTCTGAAATCATATTTTTTGACAATGGAAGAATTGTCCTCTTATTCCCAGAAAAACATCACATTCTAATCCTCTCTAAACAAAAAAATCACAGGTCTCAGGGAAAATTCCTATTTCTAACTCATATAAATTTATCCATGTATTTGCTTACAGTATATATTTATGTTTTTGTGACTCATCCACTTACCACAGCAATCGTAGTGTGCATCTGCTAATACTAAACAGTGTACATAAAAGTTTCCAGTTTATATTATACCCACCTCATTTTTTACAAAGGTGCCAAAAACATACAATAGAAAAAAGACAGCCTCTTCAACAAATATTGCTGGGAAAAGTTAACTGTCTGCAAGAAACTGAAACTAGATCCATGTATATCACCCTGTACTAGTATCAACTCAAAATGGACCAAGGACCTAAATATCAGACCCAAAACTCTGAAGTTACTACAGGAAGGAGCAGGAAATACTCTAGAACTAATAGGTATAAGCAAGGACTTCCTCAATACAACCCCAGCAGCCCAGCAACTAAGAGAAAGGATGGACAAATGGGACTTCATAAAATTAAAAAGCTTCTGCATAACAAAAGAAATGGTCTCTAAACTAAAAAGACCACCCACATGGTGGGAGAAAATATTGGCCAGCTATACATCGTACAAGGGACAGATAACCAGAATATACAGGGAACTTAAGAAACTAAACTCTCCTAAAATCAATGAACCAATTAAAAAATGGGCAACTGGACTAAACAGAACTTTCTTAAAAGAAGAAATTCACATGGCGAATAAACACGTGAAAAAATGCTCACCATCTCTAGCCATAAAGGAAATGCAAATCAAAACCACACTAAGATTCCACCTCACCCCTGTTAGATTAGCCATCATCAAAAACACCACTGACAACAGGTGTTGGCAAGGATGTGGGGAAAAAGGAACCCTTATGCACTGTAGTGGGAATGCAAGCTGGTGCAACTACTCTGGAAAAAAATTTGGAGACTTCTTAAAAATCTAAAATAGACCTGCCATATGGTCCAGCAATCCCACTCCTGGGGATATACCCAAAGGAATGCAACACAGATTACTCCAGAGGCACCTGCACACCCATGTTTATTGCAGCACTATTCACAATAGTCAATTTATGGAAACAGCCAAGATGCCCCACTACTGATGAATGGATCAAGAAAATGTGGTACTTGTACACAATGGAATTTTACTCAGCCATGAAAAAGAATGAAATCTTATCATTTGCAGGTAAATGGATGGAACTGGAGAACATCATTCTGAGCGAGATCAGCCAGGCTGAGAAGACCAAAAATCGTATGTGGACTTTAGATCTAGGGCAAATGCAGCAATGTAGTTGGACTTGGATCACATGACAGGAGGAGACCTCATACGGGAGATATAGGAATAGGTAGAAAACCCAAAACATGAAAGCGTTTGATGTCCCCACTCCAGAGGAATTAATACAGAAACCTTAAAACGACAGAGGTTAACATGAGAAGGGGATCAGCAATCAGTGTAAAGATCAGTTAGGGATGAATCAACATGGGTCATAACACGTGTACACGAAAGCAATGTTAGGAATCTCTGTATAGCTATCCTAACTCAACTAGCAAAAACGCTTTGTCTTCCTTACTATGCTTGTGTCTTTTCTTCAACAAAATTAGTGATAAAGGCGGAACAGGACCTGCCTAGAACTGAGGGGAGGAGGGGGGAAGAGGGTACGGTAGGGGAGCAGGGGGGAGAAATGACCCAAACAATGTATACACATGTGAATGAATGAATAATTTAAAAAATTGTTTTTCAGAAAAAGTTTTCGGTTTATATAGGCAACTGTTAGTCATGGGCGCCCTCCCGTGTTCATGAAATGAACTACAGACTAGAACAGACAAAGGCTTTGTGGCCAAATTCTGACACAGTCGCGTTTGGAGTCCTTATGGTTTTGGTATCCAGTAGGATTAGTCGACCTAATTTAACTGTATGCTCCCATGCTGTGGCTTGTGACTTCAGGTGCCACTTGAAAACAAAGTCTGGATTCTGTGAGCTTGTTGATTAACCTTTGATTTCTCTCTCCCTGTTTTGCCAGTCTATATACACTGAAGAGCCTTCATTTATTACTTTGCTTCCTTAGCACAATACGTCCAAATTAGTCCAAACTGTCACATTATGTGCGTGTTCTAGAAGGCACCAGGACTCTTCCTATAGGACCAAATATTTGGCATGATTACCAGCATGAGCTTAAGTTCACTGTACGAAGTCTCTGAAATTGGTTCTGACAATATTACTTTTTCAGATGAGACAAACCTTCTAACTCCCTGCAATTATATGCTTAATAGGCTAACCATGCCAAAATGGGGTATTTTTCACCAATTATGAAAAAAACTGAAATGATAGTTTTACTTGTTCTATGACTTTCTCTGATTGGAGATTTTCAATTATTTTAAGGGTTCTCTAATAGCCAAAAGCCCAATAATAAACCATCATTTAAAATTAAAATTCTCCTAGTCCTGAGCTAAATATATTTGTCATGTTGTCATGTTCCAACCAAGAAGAACACATCATGAGCTTGAAGATACCCTTTGTTCATTACTTCTTTTTTTATTATTATTCCTTTTTTGTTGTTGTTGTTGTTTGGTTGGTTGAGTTTTTTTGTGGTACAAGGGTTTTATCTCAGGGCCTTGAACTTGTTAGGCAGAGACTCTACCACTTGAACCATGTGCCCAATCCTGTTCATTTATTTCTAAAAATGATTTGTGTACCAGATATATTTAAAACCATGTTCAAGGCAGTGTTGAAATAAAAAGCTATGGTTGTCATATTTAGAATATTCTAAAAGAGCTAAGACACTCAGAAAAACAGTATGAGCATATGCGAATAATCAATAATTGTGACAAAGCCAAACTGCTGAAAATAACACAGATCACTTCGGTAGCATATGTAATAGAGGAGGATCAGAGCATATGTAGTAGAGGAGGAGCATTTGGCCAAGTCCTTCTTGGAATGGAAAGATAAGACTTGAACAGAAAGCAATAACAGGGAAGGAAAGAGTATTTTTCTTGTGCTTTGAAGATGATTTGTCCTCCTGAACTAATGGAAGAGTTTAATGATATTAAGAGGGCGGCAGCTTAACCTGACTATGGTGTTTAGAAGTGAGCCTTTAGAAAGCGATTAAATTGGATTAGGTCATAAAAACCCCATGATTGAATCCTGGTGAGTTTAAAAGTATGGGGAGAGACCACATCTACACTAAGGTGCACACATACTCCCACCTTGATGTCATACAGTCAGGGAGGCCCTCGACAGAGACTGCACCATGCTATATGGACTTCCAGCCTCCAGAACTGTGAACCAAGTAAAGCTCTTTATAAATTAGCCTGCCTCGGGTAAAATCTCATTGTAATCATGAAAAGCTACTTAGTACAATTTAGATACAAAAACATGGCATAAATTAAAGCTCCATGATACAAAAGCATAAATTTTACATTATATTGAAATAAATACAAAAAATTCACAGAATGTTTTACTTCTTAAAGTCCTAAAGGCAGAGTTGTATCAATAAATTTTCCTTTTCTCTCTGAAGTTTGTAGTTCAGAACCGGAAAATGTTCAGGCTGACCCAGAAAATTATACTAGTCTTCTTGTCACATGGGAAAGACCTCGAGTGGTTTATGATGCCATGATTGAGAAATTTGCAGTGCTGTACCAGCAATTGGATGGAGAAGACCAAACTAAGCATGAATTTTTAACAGATGGCTATCAAGACTTGGTAACTATACGATGAATTGTTTTATGTATGGTAACATTATAGCTTAATTTCCAAGGTAAGAACTTGCAAACGATATAACCATATACACTTGGTTACTTTAGGCTTTGTATAAAGGTCTCCATGGGGTCAGAGGCTGTACTAAATTATGACCAAAGTTACATTGAATTACAGGAAGACCATGGCACTTCCAACAGCACTATAAAGAGTGGATACTTAGGGAAAACTTAGAACTGGAGATTTTTTTCCTGTGCTCTCTTTTTATAAATAATTCAATTTTTAAAATCCAGTTAAATATTCCAGTTAAGATCTCACTGTTGTGGGGAAGAATTGGGCTAAGAATCGCAGTGTCCTAATATGTTGTGTCTTGCTTCCCCCATCATGCTTCCCTAGTACTGGAAAAAATCGAGTAGAGAACACAAAAGTCCTTTGCTTTGAGTCAGATTTCTAAGTAATGGATGTGAAGTGATGATTAGGTCATAACTTTAGAACTATAAAAAGACAGATAATTCTCACCCAAAATCCTACCCCTGCCCCCTCCACTGATGCAAATGAATTAAAGAAAATAAAATACAAATCCCTTCTGTAGTCTGAGCATTACAGAATTAAAGTTTGCTTTGTTGGAAAATGTTAGCTATAGATTTATGGGTTAACAAACTCTGGATGTGGCTCCCAGAAGGCACCGCTGCAGGGAAAAGGTCACTGGACTCTGCTTTCAGTCAGCTAGAGTCCTGGAAACTTGCATTTAAATAAAACTGCTATTGTTATTATGTTTAATAGCATGTGGACAAATAGATAAAATTGTAACTACTTTTTAATTTGGTTACCTAGAATATTGATATACTATGATATAGGAAAATTGTGGAATTCATATATTTAGGATGAATTAGTTTTTCTCATTTTGCTCCTTATTTGTAAATGCAACACACTTATCTTTTTTAAACATTAGTTTTAAGTTTGTGATATTCATTTGTGAGTTTGGTGATTTATAGTTAAAAATCAAAACAAAAGCCTAAAACTACCTAGTTTCTCGGTGTCTTCATAATTCATAAAGATCATTAGCTCAACTTAATAGCACTGATGAAGCTTTTCCATAAGTTGATAAAATATAAATATTTTCTATTGAAAAACAAAAAAATTCTAAAACAACTATCTAGTGTGTTAGTCTTCTGAGAATAGCACATTGGTGTAATTGCTAATATCTTTCTCTTAGGGTGCTATTCTCAATAATTTACTGCCCAATATGAGTTACGTTCTTCAAATAGTAGCCATATGCACCAATGGCTTATATGGAAAATACAGTGACCAACTGGTAGTCGACATGCCCACTGATGATGCTGGTAAGTGCCTCCCAAATATGCCTGTATGTATCCTAAATAAATGAGGCTGCTTTTGTTACTGGAAATATTGGTGCTTTCTTCTGACTTTGTGTACTTTTGGCCAAAAAACAAAACAATTTTCTCTTAAGTAATTTTATGAAGCATGGGATGTTTCTCATTCAGTAAATTAGATGCAATCAGTTAACTTATTCTCAACATTTCTTCATTTGTAAAATATGAACAACAAAGCCTGTTTATAATGTCTGTAATGGTCATCGAATGCAAATTTCTATATGAATATTGAGACTTATTTTAGATAATTAAGAATTGGTTTCATTTGTGTTTATTTCCTTTTTCAGCCCCCAGAGCATTTTGTAGTAAGTATAGGCATGATCCTAAGATCACGTGAGGTACTTTGAAATATCTGTGCAAAGCATCCTAACGGTTTGCCTCAGACATTTTTATCTGCTTTTTATGATCTGGTCAGGAGATGCTTTTCTCTTCATTGATTTGCCAGTACTATTTCACATAAACGAACAAAAGTTGTTTCTAATTGTGTTTATTTGCATGTATCTTTTCTAAATATTATGTGAAAGTCTTTTGATCTCAAAGCATATGCAATAAATGAATCAAGTGCTAAACATTATAATTTGACAATTAAAAATTTTTTGTAGTTTTCCTTTTGTTAGATAGCAGGGTTTTTGTTGTTGCTTTGGTTTGATTTTTTATTTGTTTCTTTGTATTTTAGAGTTTTGTTTTTTGGTTTTGGCAGTGTTTTCTTGGTTTTTGTTCTTTGTTTTTTTGAGACATTCTCACTAGACTGCCCTTGAACTTACCATTCTCCTTCCTCTACCTCCTGAGTAGTGGAATTACTGTCATGTGCTGCCATACCTGGCTAGTACGAACAGTTTTCAAGTGATAAAATGAAAGTGTATGTGTGTATGCATATACATCATAATATGTGTATTCATATACATGCAAATGTGTATATATAAATGAAAATATTCTTTACTCACCCTATTGTGATGCTAATCATTAAAATGTTTGCAAGTTTTAATGTAAATGAATAGTTACAAATTATATTAATTTTAGCACATTTCAGTTTTATGTACAGAAGGAAAACTGAAGTGCATTGCCGTGCCTTTGCTGTCTAAATGCTACAGCAAAGACTTTAATCCAACATGAATTTAAACAAAGTACATGTTAAGTGATCTCACTGCCATAGTTGTTCTAATTAGTTGACTCTTCAAGTACAATATATATGAGACCATTGAATATTATAATGTGTATCTTTCCAAGCCACAGACTACAAAATTTGCTAAGATATTCCTGCTGATATGGATGCTAATGATACTCTCATGATAGCAATATTGTTATTTAATATTATGACCTATCCTGTGACCTGGATATAACCATCTTCCTTATTCTTTTACTTAGCATTGTTTTTCAAAATCAGGTTATTTTTAAGGAAGGTGAGCTCTAAATCTTATTGAAAGTAACTGACTGTGGTTGTAAAATGTACCATGTCATCCTACTCCATGACAATGGCAATTTCCCCAAAGTTCCCCATTTTGATCCATCAAGAAAAGGACATCAGCAGCAGTATAACATTAACCACGGTAGCCAACACCGCATGTGAACAGATTAAACTATGGCATATAGAAAGTCTCCTCTTGCATGTACATTTGTGAATGTGAGTCACATTGAACATACTCTCTTAAATCTGTTATCTTGGATTAATTATGTTGCTCTAATTTCTGTACATACAACAATTTCCCAGCAATTTACAAAAGATAATTATTTAACCCACTTACTTTATTCTTTCTTACCCTAGTCATTGTGCCAAAATTTTCAACTTTCTAAATATTTTTGCTCTTCTTTTATTTTTAAGAAGCTTATTGCATATAAAAATCAGATCAAACGGCAATTTTCTCCAGAGTTGTGTCTGACTGACTTGCTTAGACTGAGTCTATATTGGCACAAAGTGTAACATTCTTAAATTAACTGTAGTATCTTGTCATTTATACAAAATAATAAATATTTTAATTTAATTTCTATTTATTCAAAGGATCGGGACGCTGTTGAACATTGTTATAGTGAGCTGCTAGTTTGGACACACCATTTACTCTCCATGGATGGCTTAGTCACTTAAAGTGCTCCTTTCAGTAATGGTGCTTTAGTAAAAGATGGTGTTTAACTTGATATTTTGAACCGATGTGCCTCTTAAAAGTCCAGGCTTACAAATTTAGAAAGACTATCCCCTGAGTGTTCCTATTAAAAATTCCTTCATCAAAGTACAGGATTTTCTTATTCTTATTGTAATGAAAATATTAGTTCTCTTAGAATTTATTCTTTCTAATTTTAAGGGCCACAATGGCATTTCAGTCCATATATTTAAATTTTGACTTATCTTAAATATTGTTTCTCTGGTAAACATATCACAGTAAAAGTCTAGACAGCATGCTACCTTGCAGTTTGGTAAAATAGATTTGGTGCCTACAAGATTAGTGAACTTCACTATTTATGTGCAGCTAATATGGAAACTTACTAGCTTGTTGCTTATTTTACAGTTGTTGTTTGTAACATTTCATCCTGCCCATCATGCTGCTTCATTACCTGGGTAACATTACAATGTGTCCTACTGAATTAGTCTGTCACTATTTAGGATAAGCTGTTTTCTAAGTACTGTATTGTTTAACAAAATTGCTTTTCTTAAAATGAAATGGGAGGTAATTTGTAACTGCCCTCATTCTTTAATAGATTTTAATTATTCTATTAAATATCTGAGGAAAACTTAGTCTTCCAAATTGTGGATTTAACTTGTTAATTTGCTTAAATTGTGCATTTAAATAGATAATTTGGCCATTTTATTATTTATGTATCTTAATTTTTTTACTGTGTCCAACACTACCTTCATAAATTAATGGCCATTAAGGATTATTTCAAGATGCTATTTTTAAGCGAATGTATTCATATTCAGAAACTAATTAAAATTTTTCAAGGAAAACTTTTTTATCTTTTTTGAGCTAATGTCTCACTATGTAGCCTAGACTGGCTTCAAATTTACTATATTGCCCAGGCTAGCTTTGAACTTTCAATCCTGCCTAATCCTGCCTAGTGCTGGTATTACAGGTATGTACCACCATGTTGGGTTTTTAATGTTGGAAAGAAAGAAGAAATGCATATTCTTTTAAAAGACATTTTATAAAATTATATTTACAAATGAGTCATTCATGAATGTATTTATACCACAATAACTAAGATAGTTGTGCTCATTTCCCTTTTGTACTGCAGCTTATACAGTTATAGGGGACATTATTAGTATTTAAGATTATGCTTTCAGGCTTTGATAGCAATATGTGTTAAACTTAAATTCCTGGTGAATTAGATCAACACATTTTTTCCTATCACTGTGTGCTTTTCAGTTGTATACAGTTGTCTTATTAAATCACTATACATCTGTCCATATTCTGCATGTACCATCCTGTGCTGTTATGTTATTATATAATGATATTTAAAATCATAGTTTAAAGCAATTACAATCTAAATTGCTTTTACTTTTTGTGCTGTGAAACTTGGCTTACCTTCAAACGATTAAATAAGCTTTGCTTGTCAACCTACATCAGTGTTGCTTTTTTGTGTTATGGAATATTAATGTTTTACTAATGTACTCCTTTTTAAAACATTGTAGCATTACATGTGCTCAAAAACAAACTCTGAATAAGTCACCTACTTTTGTTTAGTTATTAAATAAAGGTGAGTTTTAAGTGTTCACTAAAAGAAAAAACAACAGATACTGATAGTTCTCACTATCAGATAGACTTTGTTTTAACCTTTATACAGTCCATTTTGCAGAAATGCAAGTGTAAACCAGTATAATTTTCAACTCCTTAATAGATCAGTTAGTGCCAGAGTCAACCACTAGTTACTAAAATATCAGCTGTTATTTATGAAGAAACCACCAGCCCAGGGGAACCTGCTATCAAACTTGTTCCCATTCAGCATAACTAGACCTTGGATGCTAGAGTCTTTAACTCTCTGACCCAGAACTACGGTTCCTGAATCTTCAGGAAGATATAAACAATCCTCCAAAATTATTTTATTTATGGAATTGTTCCTAGGAGCCCCCAGAATTTCAATCGATTCAAGTAATCTGAGTCTAGTCAGAAACCAGAATGAAGATCCCTCAAAGGGGATACTAGTAAGCTACCCTTACTAGTGCAAAGGTGCCTGCTCTTGGAGTAATCACCCATGAGAGTGTCATGGAATCAACCGGGTCTCCAGGGGCTGCTTGGGCCCACAGTCACCCCAGAGCCTAAGAAGTTCCACAGAGAACTTCTTATTCTTAGTGCAGTAACAGCCAATGCAAGTATAGAAGAAGTCACTGGTATTCTTTAGGGAATCTATTTCCTACATTTTCCTTTATGAGAAGCATAATCCATAAAGCTAACTTGTGCTCTAGTAAAAGGGTAAAAATACAGAAAATGAAATGCAAACCACGATATTGAAAGGAAAGGAAATCAGCCCTCATCTCACCCTGACCCTTTCACTTAAATAAGAAAATTATCTTTGTCCATTGTGTATTCAGGGGAAGCTGGACCGTGTTTTCAAATTTTAAAACATCTGATGCATGCTAAAACAAATGAGATTCTTTTTCTGCAACCTCTTAACAGAGAAAAACTTGAAGTATAACATATGTATCACTAACAAGTATTCATGTAATTTGCCCTTAATTAATATTAAAATATTTTTAAAGTACATTAAAATGAGTGGTTCCATATTAGGATCTTTTCAGTAAAGGTAGGCAACATCTCCTGTACTGAATTTGAAGGGTTTTATGCATGAACATCTTGTAACTTTAAAAAAATCGTATTGAAGGTTATTCCTATGACAGTGCAGTTGCAACTCATTGTTTAGTTCACATATGTTGATTTTCTTAAAGGTTATAAAGACTCTGATGTTTGATCCTTCTCTTTTGTGTGTTTTTGGAGGTGCTAGGGTTTATACACAGGATTTTACACTGCACTGGGCAGGCACGTGCTCTGCCACTTGAGCCATGCTCCAGCCTCAAAGACAATTTCAGGGAAGTGAAATTTGAGACAATTAAAATCACTTTAATTTGGAAACATTTAAGAATTTTAAATCATGAAAAACAGAGGTGGGAAAAGGATTATTATCTAAGGACAAAAATAGAAAAAGGATAGCACTAATGAACCAAATAAAAGTTTTTAAACCCTTCCACTAGGAAAAAAAATAAGAATTATAACTTAAGACTGAATGTTTCTAGTGAGTATTTTCATTTTTATAGCACAGAAAATGTTCAGGTTAGTGACTTTGAGATACTAAGTTGTCAAGAACATTAACTTTATCCAAATCATCTTAGAAACTGGGTGCACTTACAGATTTTGCTTGAATTATCTTAGAAATGGAATCCATGCGTAGAACTATATTTTTGCTTTTATATGCATTAATACCTAGAAATTTTCTGGTAAAAACACACTCAAGAAAGTCTGTATTGGAAAACATGCCTGCATGATAAATATTTAATATCAGCTCAGTTGTGCCTTGAAATATTTGTGGAATATGCATATCCTTTGAGGACATGTAAAGACTTAGAACATAGAACATAAGCAGCACTGGGATGGGACGGAGCAGAAACTTTGGAGATGGAGTGAGACTCAATAAAAGCATACATACAAGAACATTGCTGTGATAATGCACAAGCCATCACACTGTCTCTGTCTGCCATCTTCCTGATGACATGGCTAACTCAGATGTCAACTGAGAGATACTATCTGGTTCTCAGTAATTTGTCCGTGTGGCTTGGTTCCTTACTGAAGTGTAAGAACCAGCTCTTCGTTTTTCGTTACATTCACTGACAGGTCTTGTGTTAGTACTGAGATATCCATGTACTAGAAATATGTTGTGGTTGACTGGGAAAAACAGACTTGAATGAGTCTGGCTATTGAATTCTTTGCATAGATGGCATGGCTGAGTTTCCTTGGGGAGAATGCACAAGAAACTTTCTGTTCAGTGCTTCCTGCTATCAACCTGGGTTAGAAGTTGCTGAAAATCATTCTCCATTTTACCTGGTGCAGAACCCTGCATACAAATAAGTATGGACCTAAATCTGAAGAATAAAAAGAATTATGACCTCCAGTGAGAAGAACTTAAGGAAGAAGTACCTAAATAAGAAAATTAATCCTACTAGTTCTCTACAAAATCTCTGACACTCCCCCAACAGGGCTCTTGTCAATAGTGCCAAGGATGAAAGTAACTGCACTGATTTAAAAATATTTGAGTTCCTTTTCACTCATATCATTCTCACTCCTCCTTTTCCTTCTTAGCTTCAGTAATATGGGCGAGAGTGGAGAAGAAAATTGGAATGGAAGACAGAGATCAATGTTTTAAATGCCATTACCTATAAGTTTATGTGGTGTTCAGTTGTGTTGAAAACTAAAATTTGAAATTTTATTTTGAAAGATTTTATATTTTCAAGGCTAACATAGTTTTCATTTTTTAAAAAAATCCCCTCTTTTATCCAAAGGTAAACACACAAGGCAAAATAGTTGAATAAAAATTGTAATAATTTTGTTTTTAATTTTGTAGAACTTGACCTTTTCCCTGAATTAATTGGAACTGAAGAAATAACCAAGGTATCAGTGCCATTTTTATATTCAAATGTTTCAGAATTTAAGTCTATTTTGGATTGCCACTTAGATTTTAGTTGTTATTACTTTAGTAAAAGTTAATGTTGAATTATTCATTGTTGGATTTTTTGCTCAGATTTTTAGTCATGTATCTGGTTACATGATCCATATGTGTCTCAAATGATCAACAAAACCACATCAAGAAAAAGAAAAAGAAATTATTTTGTGCTTTTTTGTCAATTTAAATCATTGGTCAGTTATAACTGAAGCACTCCCTTGTTCTAATAATTGGTTCCATTTAGAAAATCATATTCTGTTTGAGTTCCATCTTATATGAACTGCAATACACAATTATTTTGCATTATTACTCCAATTATAACATTTCATGTTTATTTATTTTTCCTTTCAAGTGGCATTAACACAAAAGCATCCTTTAACATAGCTTATGAGAGTTATTTGAAGTTTTCCAATGTTAATTACTAGAAAATTTCTATATAAAACTATAATATTGTATTTAGTATAACTTTTAGCTATATGAGTATATGTGACTTGGTTAGCCTTTATTTTTGTCATATTACTCTAGCTAGAAATACCAAAGGACATGTGTCATGGCACTTGAAGTCTCACTAATTACATGCATTACAAACACAAGTAGATGTCCTCCTTAGGAAAGAAAGTGAACATGTCTGAGTATTGCTACTCTTTAGTCTGACATGTTATAGTTTAAAAAAAGGCTACTGATCAGGAGGCAAGAAAATAATTCAGTGAATCACTTCTGTTCTGGTCCCAACAAGAGGCAACAAGCAGAGTTATTAAAGTTAACTTTAAAAAGCTATTCACAGATGTGTGGGAAGGGTCAGTGGGAGTCAACCAGAAATAACTTTATACACTTGGGGCTAATCATACTTAGGGTGCCCTGCTATATCCAGGCCTGAAAAACAAACAGAAGGTGTAGTAGGAGTCCACAAGACACTGTGACCTTTGTAGTGGGACAGGGCCATCCTGTGGTGACCAGGCAGGTGAGTAACTTGGGAATATCCTCACTCACCTCCCACCCACTTCCCAGCAAAGAAGAACAGAAACATCGGATAAGAGAATATGGGGAGGCAAAGGAAGAAAATGCACCACACTGAGAAAGCACAGTTTAAAAGTCATCATTGCTTTTTTGTGGGAGGAAGATTGTGACCTGGAAGAGAAACAGCAAGAGAGGGGAAGTCATTTATAGCCATGGCATTTATGAGACTTTGCCATGGCACAAATGCAGTTCACAAGCAGGATGCATTTGGTACCACAGAGAGAAAAGGATTGAAAACGATGGGTACAGGAACAGTGGCTATCAAACTCGACTTGAGAAATCACTCCATTCTACCGCATTGAAACTAGGTACTGTAATAAGGCTCATATGTGTTTTCCTGGAGTATGATTCTGGGCTGGGTGAGAGCCCTGATGATCCATCACCATTCACTTCTGCTGCTTCATGCAGGTGTGAATGGCAGAAGCTGGCAATGTGTGGATTGGATCCCTGATGATTTTTAAGCCCTGAAGATGCAAGTGAGGGATTCAGGGGTATTCCTTAGATGCTTTCCAAATAGAAATGTATGACTTTGAAAGCTAAGTATTCAGCATGATTGGAGCTTGCACTAAAGTTTTTTCAAATGGAAGTTGAGAAGGATAACAAAGATCACAGTGGTCTTAAGAGAGATTCAAAACTCTGCAGAAACTTATAAGAAAGAGTGTCCTTTAAAATATTTGTGGTCAGACGTTTATAAAGTAATCATTAAGCATGAATGACTTATTATTTTTGACTCTTTTTGCTGGTGGGTGTTGGTACTGGGGTTTGAACTCAGTGCTTCATGCTTGTTAGGCAGGTGCTCTACCACTTGAGCTATACCCCCAGCCCCGCCCCCCCCCTTTTTTTTTTTTTTGCTTTAGTAAGTTTTTTCAGGTAGGCTTTTCTTTTCATTTGGGGCTGGCCTCAGACCATGATTCTCCTACCTGTGTCCCTGCATAGCTGGAACTAGAGGCATGAATTACCATGCCTGGCTCAATTTCACTAAATTTTGCCCTGACTATCCTTGAACTGTGATCCTCCTGATCTATACCTCCCGAGTAGCTGGGATTATAGGTGTGAGCCCCTGCATTCAGTCCATAAATGGTATGTTCCTGAAATGTTGACACAAGGTAGCATGACCTCTTATAGATTAACAAGACTTAGTGAAGGGTCATCATCTTCATTAGATTCCAAGAAGCATCTGACTGAACATTACAAAGCTTTAAATCTGCTAGAAAAGAAGACAATTGAAAGATATGTATGTGACACATATGTGTGTTATGTAGATAGTTTTCCCAAAAAATTTGTAGCAGAAAAAAGAGACAAATAGCATTATAACTTAGTAAAATTTTATGGAAGTCTATATAGCTTATGGTGGGATATGAAAAAGTGTGTTCATGTGGGAATACTAGCAAACAGGAAGAAAAGTAATATTATCATGGGGCCCTAGACTACTATATCATGTAGGGAAAGTAGGTGATATTTCTTTTGCATTTTACTTGAAAGGTGGAAACGAAGAATTAGAGTTTTCTTTTACATTCCTTTTAATAGGAGAGAACAGAACTCATTTAGATGATGAGAAAATTCTTTAAGAATTTGTACAGTCACAAAATAGATGGAAATACACAGTTGTGTCTTATTTCTAAGATGATAGGGAGACAGATTTTAAAGACAGATGTATGAAGTAGCCTTAGAAAGGAGGGGAAAGACGACTCCATCATTACAACATGGCAGGAAGAGCGGGAGTGACTTGGTTGGCCCATGTTTTCAATATTAGGAAGAGGTATGATTTGGCTTCCATTTTCAAGTTCTCACTAATTTGTATCTGGTTTTTTTCTTCTAAGAGAGTATGGCCTTAAAAAGCCGAATAGATGATCTACAAGATGCCCATTCTAGCAAACTATTGAGAGAAAAGATACTGACAAAATCACATCCCTCATGAACTAAAAAATCTTGTAACCTTTGGCAAATTAGTTTTCTAAAAATATGATTAGCTATGTTATAATGCTCGCAACCTTACAGAGAGAGAGAGAGAGAGAGAGAGAGACTTCATTGACTTTGAGCCAGAACCCTTCAGAGTCAGTATACTAAGTATACACGGGAGACTTGGCCTCCTAAATAGTGATTCTAAGGGAAATAAAAAGTCAAATAACTTGTAGAATCATATTTTGACAAGTTGCTTTTAAAATGTTTACTTACATCTTAAGTGGAAAGTATAAAAACAAAAAAGTAAACATCTCTTTCAGTTCTGAATTTCACCTTTAATGATGACTTAAAAATTATGACTTATTCTGAATATATACAATTAAATATTCTGAATGTCCAAGTACTTTAGTCTTTGAAATAGATTCATGACTATTCTATATTACAAGAAAGCTAATTGCTTTTTAGCTTGCTGCCTGATGAACTGAACAAAGAAATAAAAAACAAGAAAAGAAAATAAGTACCATGTTAAATAACACTTTCAGTCCATAAATGCAACTACAAAGTGTCTTCCTTTCCAAGCCTTCATGTATGTTAACTTAGTTGCCTCATTTCACAGCATTAAAATAAAGATAACCATATAAAAGGTGTTTTCATTAAGTGTAGATACTTTCCCTAGAGGATGAACAGTAAACGTTATACAATAGAGGCATTGTGAATAGAATAAGAATAGAACAGAATAAAACGGAATGGTCTAGAATTGGGGGAGGTGACCCAAACAATGTATACACGTAAGTAAATGTAAAAATGATAAAATAAAAATAAAAATCCTTTTCAACTCAAAAAAATAGAATAGAATAGAATAATGGTATTTTATGAGAATAAAAATTCTCAAGAGCCCAAAAGTGAAGATTAGTAATATAATGCAGTATGAAATATTGTTAATATTTCTTTTTTTTCTTTTTTTTAAGACAAATATTCTTTTATTTCTGTTAAACTGAATATACAATTATTGTTCCCTAGGCAACCAACTTTTGTTCATAACTACAATTTCACGTTAACAAAACAGACAGTGAAAAGACAACTTTGATTGTGAAGATCTAATTACAATAATAAATAAAATAATTTATACAAGTTTTTTTTTTTATTTTTGACTTTTCTATAGGGATCATATTCATTAAAGCCCTAGACGCTGGTTTTGGCTTACCCCTTAGGAATGTCTTCTTATTGCCTTATTTTCCATTAAATCTTGTTTGCTTTTTAAAGGAGGAAGAAGAAATAAAAGACATTGGAGAAGAGACAGTTATGAATCCTGGTAGAGACACTGCCACAAACCAAATAAGGAGAAAGGAACTCCAGATTTCTACCACAACTCTCTATAATCACATAGGGACTAAATTCAACGAGGCCAAAACTAACCGATCTCCAACAAGTGGAAGTGAATTTTCTGGAAGGGACTATGTTCCCAACATATCTTTACATTCTACTTCTCAACCAGTCATCGAACTCGACACAGAAAAAGAAATTTCCTTGCCTTCCCAGACTGCAACTGAATTGCCACTGCAGCCTGTGGAGGGCACTTCAGTCTCTTTAAATGATGACTCTAAAACTATCCTTAGATTTCCACAGATGAACTTGTCTGCAACTGCAGAATCTTTAAACACAGTTTCTATAACAGAGTATCAAGAGTTGTCTACTGACATCAGTGAGGAAGAGAGCTTATTGACTGATTTCAAGCTGGATACTGGAGCTGATGATTCTTCAGGCTCCAGTCTTGCAACTTCTATCCCATTCTTTTCTGAGAACATATCACACAGTTATATATTTTCTTCAGAAACACCAGAGACCATCACATATGATGTATTTAAAACAGAGTCTACAAGAAATGCTTCAGAAGATTCAACTTCATCAGGTTCCGAAGACTCACCAAAGGATCCTTCTATTGATGAAAGTGTGTGGTTGCATAGCTCCACAGATGTGACAACACAGCCTGACATTGGATCGGGGCGAGAGACCTTTCTCCAGACTAATGACACTGAGATACCTGTTGATGAATCTAAGGAGACAACTGAGTCCTTTTTACCAGGCCCCATAGTGTCACGGGGTCCCCCAGCTACAGATGTGGAAATGCCACGTTATTCTCCCTTTGCCTACCTCCCGACTGAGGTAACACCTCATGCTTTTACTCCATCCTCTGACCAACATGATTTCGTCCCCACCATCAACATGGTACACTCGCAGACAACTCAGCCAGTATACAATGGTGAGACACTTCTCCAACCTTCCTACAGTAGTGAAGTCTTTCCTCTAGTCACCCCTTTGTTGCTTGACAATCAGATCCTCAACACTACCCCTGCTGCTTCAAGTAGTGATTCGGCCTTGCATGCTACGCCTGTATTTCCCAGTGTCGATGTGTCATTTGAATCCATCCTGTCTTCCTATGATGGTGCACCTTTGCTTCCATTTTCCTCTGCTTCCTTCAGTAGTGAATTGTTTCGCCATCTGCATACAATTTCTCAGATCCTTCCACAAGTTACTTCAGCTGCTGAGAGTGATAAGGTATCCTTGCATGCTTCTCTGCCAGTGGCTGGGGGTGATTTGCTATTAGAGCCCAGCCTTGCACAATACTCTGATGTGCTGTCACATCAGACCACTACCCATGCTGCTTCGGAGACGTTGGAGTTTGGTAATGAATCTGGTGTCCTTTATAACACGCTTATGCTTTCTCAAGTCGAACCATCCAGCAGTGATGTCATGATGCATGCACATTCTTCAGGGCCTGAACCTTCTTATGCCTTGTCTAGTAATGAGGGCTCCCAACACGTCTTCACTGTTTCTTACAGTTCTGCAATACCTGTGCATGATTCTGTTCATGTATCTGATCAGGGTTCCTTATTTAGCAGCCCTAGCCATGTATCAAAGCCTAAGTCTTCATTAATAACCCCAACTGCCTCATTACTGCAGCCTACTCAGGCCCTCTCTGGTGATGGGGAGTGGTCTGGAGACTCCTCTGATAGTGAGTTTCTTTTACCTGACACAGATGGGCTGACAGCCCTTAACATTTCTTCACCTGTTTCTGTAGCGGAATTTACATATACAACATCTGTGTTTGGTGATGAAAATAAGCCACTTACTAAAAGTGAAATAATATATGGAAATGAGACTGAACTGCAAATTTCTTCTTTGAGGGAGATGACTAACCATTCTGAAAGCACAGTCATGCCCAGCATGTATGAGAATGTAAATAAGGTGAATGTGTCTTTACAAGAACCTTCTGTTTCCATATCTAGCATAAAGGGCATGCTTCCAGGGTCTCTTGCTTATCCCACCACTAAGGTTTTTGATCATGAGATTAGTCAAGTTCCAGAAAATAACCTCCCAGTTCAACCTACACACACTGTGTCTCAAACACTTGGTGACACTTCGCTTAAACCTGTGCTTAGTGCAAGCTCAGAGCCTGCATCCTCTGACCCTGCTTTTAGTGAAGTGTTATCTCCTTCAACCCAGCTCTTGTTCTATGAAGCCTCATCTCCTTTTAATACTGAAGTATTGCTGCAACCTTCCTTTCAGGCTTCTGATGTTGACAGCTTGCTTAAAACTGCTCTTCCAGCTGTGCCTAGTGATCCAATATTGGTTGAAACCCCCAAGGTTAATCAAATTAGTTCTGCAATACTGCAACTCATGACATCATATTCTGCTTCAAGTGAAAACATGCTGCACTCTACATCTGTACCGGTTTTTGATGTATCGCCTTCTCCTAATATGCACTCTGCTTCACTTCAAGGTTTATCAGTTTCTTACACAAGTGAGAAATATTTTGAACCAGTTTTGATTAAAAGCAAAAGTTCCCAGCAAGTGGTACCTTCTTTATATAGTAATGATGAGTTGTTCCAAACTGCCAATTTGGAGATGAACCAGGCCTTTCCCCCAAAAGGAAGGCATGCGTTTGCTACTCCCGAGTTATCGATTGATGAACCACCAAGTACACTTATGAATAAGCATATATATTCTCGTGAAGTTTTCACCTCCACCAAAAGTTCTATTACTGATGAGGTATTTTCTGGTATTCCAACAGTTGTTACTGATATGCTTGTATCCACTGATCAATCTCTCCCTTTAGGAAATGGGTACATTTCTATTCCAGCTGTTTCCCCCAATAGAGATGGCTCTGTGACTGCAACCAGGCTGCTGCTTCCTTCTAAAGCTACTTCTAAGCTGACTCACAGTGCCAGATCTGATGCGGATTTAGTGGGTGGAGGTGAAGATGGTGATGATTATGGTGATGATGATTATGATGACAGAGATAGTGATGGTTTGTCCATGAATAAGTGTATGTCATGCTCATCCTATAAAGAATCACAAGAAAAGGTAACAAATGACTCACAGACCCAGGAAAACAGTCTTGTGGATCAGGATAACTCAATATATTCACTATCTGGGAATTTGGAAGAAGAAAATAAAGTCACAGGTGTAACCCCAGACAGTCAAACTAGAGTGGACAGTAGTACTGATAAATTACCACCAACCAATATTCTGAGCCAGAAGCACAGTGATGGCAAAGAGGACAGTGACATTCAGACTGGCAGTGCCCTACATCCTCTCAGCCCAGAATCTAAAGCATGGGCTATTCTGACAAGTGATGAAGAAAGTGGATCAGGGCAAGGTACCTCAGATAGCCTTAATGATAATGAGACTTCCACAGATTTCAGTTTCCCAGATGCTAATGAAAGAGATGCTGATGGGGTCTTGGAAGCAGGTGACTCAGAAATTACTTCTGGATCTCCACGGTCCTCAACACCATCTGTGACTAGTGGGCACTCAGAAGTGTTCAACAGTTCAGAGGCAGGTTAGTTATAATCAAAAGAATAGAATGAGATACGGTGATTTTCTTGCTATAAAAGTAAAATAGAAGAATCACTAAAAGATAGACATTTGGTGAAAGAGCAGATATCATTTTTTCTTAATCAAAATACTCAACAAATCAATTTACAGCTTATGATTTTATTCATTGTTTTGAATAAATGTTCAACATGCTTTGAGCCTTAATTTAATTCTCTTCAAAACACATAAAGCACTTTTTTATGTGTGGTCAATAGTTTTTATTCTATAGGATACATAATGAGAAATTATGTGGGCACAATACATTTTTACTATCTTTTAAAATAAGATCAGAGTGTACTGTGAAATTTTAATTTTCATACTTGTGTTCTAAAAAGTTGCAAACTAACTCTATGGGATTATAGGATCTGATATAAGTCCCTCTTTCTAGTGCACCCAAGGAAAGGAATTAGACATTTCACACATCCACATCAACTTACACAGCTTAAAGAAAGTTATATTGCTAAGTTTTGAGAGCTAATGGGTAGTTTTAAAACAAAGGTTTTAAATTAAAAATTACCTTTCTTTGAGTCTCTTAATGTTGCCTAAAGGGGGCAGTGTGAACCAATAAAACACCTTTTATTTTGCGCTTGCTGTTTGTTATACGCCTTTCTAAGTTAAATAATAGTCATTAATATGCATAGTATGTATAGGTATTGTATGACAAGATGTAAAACACTAGAAAATATTCTGTAGAAATGAATTTCATTTGTTAATGTATCTTATGCAAAGTGGTTTGTTGGCCAGATGTTTGTTAGAGCAGATTACTTACAGCATATATAATACAGACTCATGCTTTAAATACCAATGGAAAGAAAAGGAAAGTTCAATTCTATTAAGCATATGAAATACTAGACAGTTGCATTGAGTCAATGATAAGAATTTTATAATTTGCTTTTATTACATAATAAGGTATTTTTAAATTAACAATGAAAATATTTAAATCTTAACAAGGCAAAAGATAGGCTAATATAATATCTTGTACTCTTATTGCACAAAAATGAATAGTTATGACTCAGAATATAGACCAATCTCATTAGGATATTTTTCTTCTTTGTTATTTTCATGCTTGGAATTAGTTGTATATTTTTCCTTCAATGCAACAGCAATTAAAAGTTGATGCATTTTGATAGAGAAGTTTTCTTCTGTATTCTGACTTGATATTTAACATTGCATTTTGGGTTAAACACTTAAACTCTGATATGTGAGAATGAATAATGAGTCCAGAGGTCACTATACTCATCAGTGCTGTCATATATATGAATTGTTATTTGCCCTCAGTTATAGTACTGCTTTTTGAATTGTTATTAGATTTATCTTAAAGAGAAATATCAGAAATCCATCCATTTTTCTTTCTTACTGGGTAGTGTATTGATATGTTCTTAATAAATTATGCCATCATAGAAAGACTATATAGGTGTATAATATGTATATTAATATATAGTGATATATCAAAATGCTAAACTTAGAATTGTTGGCTAAAATAAGTTTCTCTTTAAGGCACTGATTAGATTGATTTAAGAGGTATATTCCCACACTAATGAGGAGAAGCAATAAGAATACAATAACCAGTATCATGAAATAACATAATTAATGAAGAAAATAATATCAAACAAAATTAGGGGGGAAATTAAACTGTATCTGTAAAAATCATATGTAGTCTGTCTTACCGAATTATTGAATATGTCCCTTAGTCTGCAACCTAAAGTTTATGTGTATTTCTAAGATGTAGAACAATTTATAAGATATGTTCCTCAAATTAATAAAAAATAGTGCAAATGTTAGTACCTGCACTTTATAAATGAGTAAACACAAACTGGAAGATTCTAGATTACTTGATCCAGGTTGCATAAAGAATAAATATAAAACTAAGCTGGAAATGTTTAATATTTGTGTCCATCTCTTAGAAACTGCTTCAAATGATTGAGGATAACAAAATATATGTAATGCTTAAATTTTAATATCAGAATGATACTGCTTTATTCTAAAAAAATTTTTGAAGTATTAATCTTATTTATTTCTTAATAACCTGTTAGTGATTATTGTCATTTAAATAACTCATATATACTTTGAGCCTTCTCAAAGCACATAGTTTAGTCTCAACTAACTGAAAATAAAATCAAGACAACTATTACCCTTATTATAGTTTACAAAACAACCATCCAATTGTCCATACTTTCATGTGGTATGCCATCTTGTATAAAATAGTTCAGTTTCATAATATATAAGTACCATCGAATTGCGGTTTTAAGTCCTCAATTAAAGAGTTCAAGATTAGATCTCCCAGAGAACTTACAAGAAAAATCTAATAGAAGACCATACATGTGTGCATGAATGTAAGTGTGATGTGTATTTGGTGCATATTACATACGTTGTGTTGTATATCTTCCACATATATCACATATATGAGCAGATTATCTCATGTATATATGTGCATTTACATTTATACAAATGAGATGTATATTTAGCAAATATAACCCATATACATATTGCTATGAACCTTTTTGTTCATTGAAAACCTGTGTGATTACATAAGCTCACTTTGTAGACATTAATCTACATCATTGACTCTCAAACTTGAACATGGATCAGATTCTGAATATTTGGTGTGATTTGGGAGGGACCAAAACTTGCATTCCTAGCAAGTTACAGGTGGTGCTGATGCCACTGTTCTGGGGAATCACAGTTTAAGAATGACTGGTCTAGACAACAGTATTAACCACCATTTGTAATTGCTAAGTACCAAGGACTTTGCTAAGTGGATTATGTCATTTATTAATCACAAGCTTACTTTCCATTTAGGTAACAGTTGTTGCAATAGGAAAAATGTGAAGACAGTCACAGATAAAACAAGATGCTTTCACCATCAAATTATTTAGGTGTCTAGATGAGTCTCCACACAATATATAATGGTCAGAGCATATAGATGACCTAACAAAATTGAGGCTTTGCTTTTTCTCACAAGAATATTAATTATAGCACAAGTGTCAGTTGACTTATAATCTTTTCACCTTTTATATAGTTTTGTGATTTTTTTAATTGCATCCTCGAATTCTGCCTTTTTCTAGCATATGCATTAATAACTATAAGAACAAACATCTTGAGAAATATGAGTATCATTTATATTTTTTGATACATTTCCTGTGTGAGTGAGTTAAATGTTTGGCCTTTTCTGCCCTCATCCCTAGTTACAGAAGGAATCTTTTATGTTAAATCTTAAATTCTCTACAGCTAGATGTATTTTAATGCTATACACATGCACTTATGTCAGTCTCAATTTTCTCATTCACAAATATTTGAAATTCTGTCTTGTGTCACTAATAGACACTTGATATAGACATCAAATATGCCAAGTGCAGGAAGTATGCAGACTTTGATGGGAAACTTAAGTGTATGTCTCTCAGAACTTGCACAGGTAGACATGATAAGGGCTCTTACCTTACAGTGATGTCAGCATGGCATGTTAGAACAGTTCTCATGTACCTTCATCTTGACCTCCTACTGAGCACCCCTCAAAGCAGAGGGGAAAGGCTATTACTGGCCATCAACACTCACAATTCTGGAACTTGTTTTAACAACTCAGAAAAATATCTGAGTGATTTTTCAGAACAATAGTACAATAATGTGCTGACTGGTCACAAAAATATTCATCTGCCATGCTTTAAAATTGATGCATGGAGTGTATTCAGATTTTTTCACTATTTGTACTTGGATATTTGAAAAGAATTTCTTAGATATGTATTCCTTCAATTCACATGCAATGAATAGTATTTTTGGTCTTGGTAGGGAAAAAAACAATAAGAAAGACATTTAAAATCAACCTATATTAAAATTAAAATCTCTTGAAAGGTTATCCTAGTTATAAACAGTTATCCTAGGATCTTTTTCTTCATGAACTTATTAAATTCTTCTCATTATTTATCTTATTGCAGAATTTAAAATGATTGCACTAAAATTAATTTTAGAAAAAACAAGATTATATATGGTGATTCAGTAAGTTGCACTGTTTTTTCTGATCATTTAACTGAGTGTTTTTCTCATTTTAGTACTTCCATTTGCTTTTGAGCAAGCTTTTCCAGGCAGTATTATCTGCACTTCTTTACATGGCCATCCTACCTGTGCCATTTCTTTGGGGTTATTGTAATTTTTTAGCTCTAATAACCTGTCTTTTTAAGCTTTATTTTACTTAAATTGACTGATGATCTTAGACATTCTTTATATCACAGAGTCAAAACTTGAAAGGTAAGTAACAACAAAGGTTGCAATTAATCAATTAAAGTGTTGTGACTTTTCCTTCCTGTTAAATATCAACTCTCTCAATTTTCTCTGACTACAGAGGCCAGTAATAGTAGCCATGAGTCTCGTATTGGTCTAGCTGAGGGGTTGGAATCTGAGAAGAAGGCAGTTATACCCCTCGTGATCGTATCAGCCCTGACTTTTATCTGTCTAGTGGTTCTTGTGGGTATTCTCATCTACTGGAGGTAAGCTGAATGTTTGTTTTAGAAAATTTAATTCATGAAACTGAGATTTTTCCCATATTTCATCTAAAAGCTCTTTAAAGCATATTCAAAATTACTTCCACATGCGAGCTACCATTATTTATCCAGCTATGAACAAAGTGAAGTGAATCCAAAGACACAATAATAAATGAGTTGATTGTTTTCCATACTTAAATCAAAGAACTGAAGGTAAAATGGAGGAACTCTGACTTTAGTTAATCAGGCATTTTGGCAGCGGTACTTCATATTCATCTAATTACATTAGAGCAGTATCATAGCATTTAAAATAAATCTGAGTTTCTAATGAGCTACTATAATCTCAAAAGATAGTATTTAAGAAAACATCATTTTTGATATGTTAAAAATTTTTTAATAACTGAGTTTTTATACAGAAGTGTCACCTATGCATAGTGATAAAACATGATAACCTGTGCACCAAAATAAGTATCAAGCAATTAAAATATAAATATAAGTAGGGAATAAAATTAATGACTATATTAAGATTATGAACTTTTAAAACTCTTTATAATTTGCTGTGAGATGAAATACAGCTTCACTGTCATCAATTAATCCATTAAAACCTTTAAAGAATGAGGATAATTGCATTCATCCTATACTTTCCATCCTGTAGCAAGTAGAACACACACAGCTAATTAGTAAATTTACTAGGGACACAACGGAAGTTAGTAAAACCATTGAAAAACAAGGACCTTTGATGATATACAGATTCATATCTGTAAACCAAGAAAGGGCATAGCTTTCTACGAAACAGAATTTTGTGCAGAAGACCTATAATCAATTCCTTTTTGTTTAAAAGCATCATTATATCAGTTCACATCACCACTCTTTGTTATCCTAAAGGATGTCTTCTTAGTTGGTTCCAAAATATCTATTGCTCTTGCTCATGTATCTAGCACTGTGTTAACTACTGTCTGGAGATATCAAAAATGAACAAAAGAATGAATGAGTGGAAGTCACTGCTTTCAAGAAATTCATGCTGATTGGGGAGAAAGAATTTTCCATGAAAATTTATAAAATATTGCACAAAAGTTAATGCATAGCAGCTAAAAATCTAATGCTGAGTGGTCAGAGAACAAGAGATCTTTAGAGGTCAAAAGAGGCAGGGTAAGTGTGAAATAAAATGCAGAACTGGAGCTGGGTAAGATTCAGAAAGTAGGGATACAGGAGAAGGGCATTCCAGGCAGGAGTATGGCAGGCAGGAGGATGGGAAGTGGGAAAGAGCTGGATGTCTCCAAGTCAATGAGGCTTAGAGGATGTAGTTATATGCAGTTGGGCATTGGTTGGCTAAAGTAGAATGCTAACATGTATGACTTCCTTTACAGAACAGAGTAGATCCCAGACTGTGGAGAACAGAATATATTCTTGTTAACCTGCATGGGTTAGCAGTCCCTTTTGTCTATAACGTGATGCCTGTTGTTTCTTCAGTATGTGCCCCAGTGTTTCCTATAATTACTGTATTTTTTATGGAAGATTTCATGATTAACAGAGAGCTTTGAATATAGCACACAATCCATAAATGTTTGTTCAGCAAACATTCAATTGATTTTTCATCCCATGTCCTATTGGACTTGTTGACCGTACTTCTTGAATAAAATTCATCATTCTTTACTTAACCATTTCAAATTTTAATAAGTATTGTTACATAGCTATCCTACTCACATCTGTATTCAGTGAATTCACCATAAAATCTAACTGTTGAGATCATTATCACTAAAGGTACTATGTGCTAAAATCAGAGAAGTGCATTTTTCAAGGTTTATATGAATTATTCCAATTCTAGTGTAGTCACATTTGCTAATAATATAATTTCAACAGCCAAGATGGAACCATTTTAGACAATTATGGAAAATTATAGTCTGTCTAAAAGTTTAAAAATCTAATGGCAAACCAATAACAGTTCGAATATTAATGTCTTACTAGGTTTTTCCAAGCTTATGTACTTAAGCTATTTTTATAATAGCTGTAATGAGATAAAAAAATCAATGCATCATAATCCTATAGTTTTTAATGTAACTTAGTATTTCCCTTATGCCTAATCATGTTGAGTATTTTTCATGTGTTTATTACACATTTATGTGTCTACCTTAGAGAAATGTGTGGTCAAATCTTTTTCTATTTTTAATCAAGCAACGTGCTTTTTATTATTGAGTTGTATTTGTTTTAATATACTCTAGGTGAAAGTCCTTTACCTGTTATCTGATTTGCAATTATTTTTTCCATTCTGTGGGTGGTCTTCTCACTGTCTTGTTTACATCTTTTAAAGTACAAAAGGTTTCAGTTTTGATGAAGTCCAATTGATATACTTTCCTATTATTGCTTATGCTCTTGACATCATATCTAAAAAGGTATTGCCTAACCTACAGCCATAAAAATTAACTTCTAAATTTTCTTTTAAGATTTTCATGAAGTCAGAGGGCTCATACTTCCTGATTTTATAGCTCATTACAAAGCTACAGTAATCAAGAGAATCTGGTACTAGCATAAGTGTAGACAAATAGACTGATGGAATAAAACCAAGAAATCAGAAATGAGATCTTAATTTTGTGGTCAGCAAATTTTAGACAGGGGTCCTAGTACCTTCCAATGGACAGAAAATAGTCCTTTCAACAAAATCTTGTAAAGGCAATTGGATATCCACAAGTTGAGTGTTTTTCTAATATTGCACAAAAAAATGAACTCTAAAAGGACCATAGACCTAAATGAAGGAGAAAACCATAAAATTTTTAGTAGAAATATTTAAATATTCTTCTAAGGTATTTTTAGGAGACAAGTAATCTCAAAGTGGTATAATAAATTTTCTCTTTTTGTCTAACTTATGTAACTAAAGGTATTACCCAGTATTTTTTTTTTAAACTTTGAGAGGAAGCAAATTCTAGCAGAAAGATAGAACAAATTACAGGTGATAAAATCTGAATTCCTTTCCCAGTTCTGCCTCAAATTTTGTATATGACCCTGAGGTATGTCCCTTACCTACCTTTGAATTAGTTTCCCCTCTTCACCTTTTGGTTGACCCCTGGATCAGCTTTAAGTTTAGTAAGACCTTCTTTAGGGTCGTACTAATGAATGTAGCATGCTGAATTCTGTTTCCTATCAGTATAAGGATACTGAGAAACAGAATAGTAATTATACATTTCCAGCTTTTAATTCTAAATACTGTGAAGAAAAGGTGTAAATTAAATAATCAGATTACCATTGATTGATAGGCCCTATGTATACAAGTTTGAGATAGTCATCACTTTTTTCATCATGGCTGAGTGATAATTAGCAAGAGACATGGTTATCAACACTTAGCACATAGACATTCACTGCTTATTCTGAACAGATGGACTATAGATACTGAGTCTTGTCATACATTAAATAATATTCCTTGAAATTGTTTTCCAGATGTTTTAAGGTATAATTTACATGAGCCAAACCACAAGCTTCTAAGATACAAAATGACTTCAAAAGGGAGGATTTTCACATAGTACTTTTAAAGGAAAAAACAGGCAAATTTTTAAAGAGTTAGAATATAAAACATGCCAAAGTTAGACTCATCAAAAAAGCATATTATATCAAAAGCTGTATCAAAAAGAACTTTCCATAGGCACAGTCTATTTCACTGGAACAAGTGATAGAAAAACAATATGAGTTCTCTCTTGATCTTAATTCAAATCTGTGGGTCATTGAAAGTAGCTACTAACCCAGAAAGGAGGTCTCCTACCATACTACCTTTTAAGTAGAATATCACTTCCTATGTAAGACTTCACTGTAAAATATACTTTAGTAATGTATGGATGACCTTCACCCATAAATTAACTTGTATAATTTTAATTTTTTCCACTTACAAGCTTTTGGTATAATTTATAAGATTATTTTCAGAAATTAAAGCCAGGTAACATAATTGGGCCACTTGTCTTCTAAAACCAACAAAGATTTCATCACATAGTTGAAGAGAGTGGAGTTGGTGTTTCCTGAGTTACTACAGTGAACATTAGCACCATCCTAAGCCTCAATGCCAATAAGCTTTCATCCATGTTTTCATATTCTTCTCATCCTCTGTCATTGGCCATCCTATCTCTATCTATCTGAACATCAATCCATTTACTTTTTTACCTGTGTGTCCCATCTCTTCCTCCAAAATATTTTGCCATTTCAAGTTATTCCATTTGAGGCTCAGGTAGGCATGAGAATCTAGGATGCATCAAATGACTAGTTAGATTTATTTGCTGCTAGAAATCCACCTACTTCAATAAAAATTGAGCACTTGTTTTGCTCCTGACACTGCATTAAGAGTAAATCAAGAGATATCTTGATTATCTTTTTCAAAAACCATACTAAGGTTATAGATACAAAACAAGTACATTACAAAATAATTATCCTAACCACCAAATAAGAAAAATACTTTCACATGCTAGGCAAGAGTTTTACCACTGAGCTATATCTCAGCCACTAAGCAAAATACTTAAAATAGTGTAGAATAATGTTTGGGGAATCAAGATCCCTTTTAGGTTGATTAGGAATACTTTTCAGAACAGTCTTTACATGATTGCGAGTGCAGTAGAAACAGAAGCTGGAGTGCTAGAAGCTGCTTAGGACATGAGACACTGCTTCACACAGAAGATGCTTCTCAGTTGTCCTGAGGAAGGACAGTGTTTGCCTGGCATATTGGAAAATGAGGATTTCTTGGATTCTGTAATCTAAAAGTCTTAAAGTACAGAACTAGAACTAATGGGTAAAACAAGCAGGGCGATAGATACCAACAGAAAGAGCCAACACAAAAGATTAAGAAGGCCTTCACTTTGGTTTCTATTTGGAGGTCCTTAGGAAGGAATGAATTGTGAGTTACTACAAGGAAAAACATCTAAAAATCTAAAGATGACTTGTGGGTTAGGTATTGTGGTTCATGTATGCAATCCCAGCTACTTGGGAGGCATATAGCAGGATTATTTAAGAACAGCTTAGAAAAATAGTGAGGTCTCATCTCAGCAAACAAGTTTACATGGTGACCTGTACCTGTGGTCCCAGCTATGGGAGGCATAGGTAGACAGTTGCAATCGGAGGCAAAAAACCCAAGACTATCTGAAAAGTAACTAATAATGAAAAAGAAGTGGGGTGTGGTTCAAGTAGTAGAGTGCCTGCCTAGCAAGCATGAGACCCTGAATTCAAATACTAGAACCACCAAATAAATAATAAATATGACTCATAAAATGTGATTTCCTTGTTACCAAAGATAGGAAAATGGACCCTAACTATGTGCCACAGATGCTATTAAAGGCATTCTTGTACCAACTATGAATTTCACTATGTCCTTTAAGGCATTTTTACAATGTAAAGATCATTAGAAAAATATTTTACTTGCTAATGTAATTACATTTTAGAGCTATTTTAGATTTTCATTCTGTAATCTTAAAATCACATGCCACATTGGATGTTTCCATATCAATGTGTCAGAACATACTAACCACAGCTGCACAGACAAGCCAAACCCTTCCTGTAATTTCTGCTGCTGTTGGGTTTCAGCTCTGCTCATGTGGACTTTCAATAGGAGAGTTTCTTTATCATCAGACTGGTGGTTCTCATCGCTTCCATTCCTCATCAATCTGCCACACTCTCAGCTTTCCAGGATGCAAAGCTGGCTGAGGGTCCCTTTGACACTTCACTCTACGTCCAATCATCTTCCTCCTATACCCTATGCTTTCCAAAGATATTCTATTTTCTCTCAATCTCTGGCCTCCCAAGTTTGATTATCAAAGGACTATACTGTCTAAACAGGGGGTTAATTTTTGCTATGCACATTGTTATTTTACGACTTTTTCTTTCTTAAAGTCATAAGTGAACTATAGAATTTTGCACTACCTCTACAGTTCATTGGTTGAATGAATATTTGGGGGCACCTACAGTACTACAACACTGAGGACTAATGCTGCAATGATTAAGATAAAGTACTTTGCATTTTGGGGCCTATAAATAAATACCTAAGTAATTGGGCACAGAAAGTACCCAACTTATAGTTCAATTTGTTGTCTTTGCCCTAGTACAAAGTAATATTCATTCAGTAGAAACTGATTTTGAGTTTTGAATTTTGATCATTTCTCAGGCTAGCAATATGCAGTGCAAGATTCTCTTGAGATGCAATGGTAGCAGGCCATAACTCTCGTCACCCATACAATCACAAGGGTGAATAACCACACTCTTCATTGTAGTGTGTTGCTAAGCTGTGGTATGTGGCTGGTTAGGTGTGTATTAAAATACATTCTCAACTTATATTTTCAACTCTCAATGAGTTATGAAGATATAACCTCATTGCAAGTAGAAGAGCTTCTGCATTTCAGATAGTGAGAAGTGCCACAAAGTATCAAAAGGGCAAAGAATAGTGACTTAGACAGATGAGCTAACACCTTTAGCTAGCGTGGTCAGAGACTCAGAGGAAGGAGCATTTGAGATAGTGCAAAAATGGTGAGAGAGAGGCAGTGGGCAGAGAGGGTGCAGCTTTGAGGAAGAAAGGAAGGACAGAGTCATCTGGACAGAGATGAGGCAAGGGTGTTATAGAAGCAGAAGCAGATGGGAGTAGGTCATGAAAGATCTTAAAGTGCTTGCTAAAATAATTGAATGTCATTGTAATTGCAGTGGGGAGCCATTTAATAATTTTATCTAGGTAACTGATTTATAGGAAAATATCAAGATTTAGAGAGTCACTATATAAGAACAAATGTTATGTTAAAGCTTGTAGGATAAATACTTTGTAGTTTAAAGCTTTAAAATGGAAAGTGAGATTGACATTTTCGCTGAAACAGATATTTCTGTTTAAACTTAACCACTCATGGATGATACTTAAGATAAATTAAATAGCTCACATCAAAGAGTGTCATTAACAATATTAGTTATCTAAATTTCTTAAATTAAGGATGACTTGCATTACTTTAGAGCAGCAGCCGGTTCTTTGCTCTTCTCGATAGCTTGTACTGTGCTCTTACTAGATGTTCCTCTTATTATCTGAATGAAAATAGATTCAGGTGATATCGTAGGTCATAGTTGTTATTGCTTCCAAATATATTCCTTCTAAAAACGCTCATCAACAAGACTAGCATCTGTTGGAAATAAAATCAGACCTGGTTTTGATTGCATGCTCATTAACTCCAGACTTTAGTTCTGCACTGCTGCATTATCATACAGTACAGATCTGCCTTCTTTCTCATCAAAATTCTACCACTGTGGCATTTCATTTTGACTGAGTCATAGCTTGCTGCCTTTTGTTAGCAGCTGAATATGTTCCAAAGGCCATGGTCACTTAAGTGTTGAGTGAAAACACTTTGACTATTCTTTCTTTTCAACTCTGGTCCTGTTCAGGGTAGTAAAACACTTTGGTATACAGCAACAGTGGGAAAGTTCCTAGGACACTGAAGTTTCTTATATCAGCAAAGAATTATTTAGTACCAGCTACACCTTAAATACTGTTTTCACCATGTCTGACATCTGCTTGTTATTCTGCATCTGGTACAAACAAACATAAGATAAACTTAGAGACCATAAAATTCTTTATCTTGTGTTTTGTCAAAATACATGTAAATCCAGCAATCACTCTACAGGGTATATGCCCACTTTGATTTTAATCTGGCTATTTCCTTCACAATTTTTAAGAACCTTATAAGTCATCATAGCATCCATGCAGCAAGTAATATAAAGTGCTTTCTTTCTTTCCAGAAAGTGCTTCCAGACTGCTCACTTTTATTTAGAAGATAGCACATCCCCTCGAGTAATATCTACACCACCAACACCCATCTTTCCAATTTCAGGTAATGGTTTCAAGTATGACTGTGAGTAGCTGGTAAATGCTGAAAGAAAAGCACAATGTTGGAAGGTGTGTTTTTGTTGGAGTGCTTTGCAAATGGCTGTAATGTAGATTAGTAAATATTTGGGTTGGCCAAAATATTTGTTACATCATGTATCAGGCACCTGGACTTCTATCTTGTTCTTACTAATTTTAAACATTCCTACCACACAAATGTTGTGGCAAAATAGTTTATAATTGTTCAGGTGTAATATGTTAAAGGAAATCACTGATAGCAATGAAGTATTAGTTTTAAATAATGCTTTCACTCATCTACATTATTGTAATAGAAGCCTAAGCAACAGAGACCAGACTAAATCAATGGAATAAATGTGGATGGGGAAAATAACAAAAGTAAGTCTAACACTTAGTTCCTTTCTGATAATTTGCATTTATGTGAGTAAAGGTTTCCTAACTACATTAGGGGAAAAAAAACCCATAAAATGGTGGTGAGACAAAAATAACCACAAAGCATGTATGCTTGCTTGAAATACTCAAGTCTCCAAATGCTGAACTTTTGCATATTTGGAAAATCATCAACTACTTTTACCAACATTTTCCTGGACAACAATAATGAAAAATCGGGGTCATTGATTGAGATAATCATTGACCCAAGCATTTACACTATAAGTAAAATTACAGCCACTTATTTAATTAGCATTTTATAACATCTCAGAATATGAAGGGGTAAGAATAAAGGAGTTGTGTAGAAATACATGAACTATGAGAGACATATTAGAGCATAGAGGACCAGAGAAACAAAAGGAGAAATTCATCGATGTAGTCATTTTATAGAGTTCTGTTTTTAAACTGTAAATTTTTACTAGAGACCCAAATTCTACATGGTGTATTCTTCTGAAATGTCATGGAAAAAAAAAGGAAAAAGAAGTACTTTCTTTATATTTTATGTTTGTAATTTATCTATGTATATATATTGATTTTATACCAAGTATATAATTGTTTTGCTCTTTTTCCTCTCCTATCAACTCCAAGTTTTTGACCATCATTATTTTATTTTTGGCCTTCTACATTGTATTAAAATATTTTAATGTTTATTTTAGTACAGCACAATTTTTCACTTGTTTTAGAATTTTGAGAAAGGAAGTTTTCAGTTGTCTTTTAAATTTTGCTTCCCTTTCTTTCCAAGCCTATCTCTTCTACTTACCCTATCAGCACAGGAATGCACATTAACTCTCATATAACCCGACATAGTTTATTATTAATAAATGAAATGCAGTAATTTAAAATCAAGCTCTGGTTCAGAAACACAGAATCTCCCCTTTTTGAATGTCAAAAGAATAGTGACCAGGAGCATCTCCTTTCCTTTGCTCAACTCTCTCTTAAATATGTACTTTTCATGTAAAATCAGAAAATGTTGGTCTCACTGATTTGAAGACCAATTAATAAAATAAATGACCAAAATACCTGACCATGGAACAAAAGTAGTCTACCTGTGAAAGGCTGGCTCTGCAGGATAATATCAATGGATTTGAAGGATATTCGCTAGAACTAATGATTTAGGTACGACAAATTATGTCTGTTTCTTTTTTAAATCTAATTATAAAAGCTCCTTCCAAGCAAATCTTCCTACAGGTGTGAAGGTAAAATTACACCTTTGTCTAGTGTTTCTTAAGCTTGACTGGCTAATTCAATTTTAGTATTCAGGTCCACTCACCTAAGAGAGAACAGATGGATTCTAATTTTTTTTAATCAACAAATTTCTTGGTAACTGAAGCTTAAAAATATTAGGTGGCCTAAATGCTGAACATCTGTTGATGTAAATAACTGTTTCTAGTGAAATGTGTTTGATGTTTCCTTGTCAGAGAAATCACTTGTGAAATTGTATACTGTGAACTAGTAATATGTTTAATCTCAGAAAGACTTTCCAGGAAAAAAAAAAGAAAAACAGGGCTAGTTAAAGTAATTTGTCCCCTTCACAATTAATTAACAGATCCAGTGACTCTGTTTACATAGCATATTTTCAAGTTAGAATTCTTAAAACTTTACAGATGAAATCTCCCAAAGGTTTTTTGACATCATTCTTAATGAATATTCTGCATATGAATGTTTTTTTATTATTTATGGAGATAAGGAAAAATGTTTTCAAATGTATACATTTGGCTATTTGACTGCAAGACATTAAACTGTACAATTTTATAAACCGAAATTTCTGTATAATTTTATAAAACTGAAATTGCATTGTAGTAAAATTGATACATTATTTCTTCGTCTTTTTCCCCAGAACTTACATGCAACCATGCTCATTTTAAACAAAGTTGCTCATAAAGAGAAGGACTGCATTAATAGAAGTGAGACTTTGGTGGTATTAATAAATTAACATTGTAAATAAATTATTTTCTCTTTAGAGTATAAATGGAAAAGAGATTCTTAATCAAATCAGATTTCTAAAGTATAGATTACAATTGATAGGAAATATACATAAAGAGTTGAACACTGATACTTAGATGAGATTGTAAGAAAAATTCAATTTGACATCAGTTTTGAAGGTGCTTTCTAGAGGTGAGACAATCATTTCTGTTGAATTACCTAACACCACTTTTTTATCTACTTAGATGATGTTGGAGCAATTCCAATAAAGCACTTTCCAAAACATGTTGCAGACTTACATGCAAGTAATGGGTTTACTGAGGAATTTGAGGTATGATTTCAGTATGTCTGTTTTAAATAATATAGAAAATACTAAATTTAAAAGATTCAGCAGTAAGCTATCGCTCTACCTAAACATATTGAAACCATTTTCATTTCTAGGGAAAATATTAGTTCCATAATTATGTGTTTAGGAGATGTGTTGTAGTTGCCATATAATTTAGAAAATTGGTTTTTTCTCTTAAAAGCCAACTTGAACTAGTGGAAGAATAAAAAGCATAAATATTAATTCTCTCCCATTAAGTACAGATCTCCAGTATTCTTTTTTTTTAAAAAAAAATCTGAACTAGTATCACTGATTCTTTGTAATTTTCTAAATTATATAATTTATACTAAACTACTAAACTTCATGATTTTCAGCTAAACTGCATACAAATCCATAATTGTAAGTATTTACATGATACAAATGCAAAAGCATTTAGGTAACTTTTTTAGTATACAAAATAATACCATATCTTCTTCTCATAAAGCATGCATTTCTAAAAAGCATTTGAACTTTATAACCAGTGAAAATGTTTGCACTAGTGTTCTTTTAAATAATCATAGACAGAAGAGGTAGAGAAATTTACTGCAAATTTTTCATGGCCTATTGAACTATCCATTAAGTGGATTTTTCAAAATAGGGAGTCACAAGTCCAAAGTTAACAATAACACACACACACACACACTCATACACAGACACAAGCACACAAGTGTATGCAGGGCCACAAAAGGTACCATTTCTGAGCATACTGAATATGTCATTCACTAAATGCCTGCATATTCAACTTTCACCAATTCTTGGAGTTGCTTGTTATTATTTCTGTTCATATGCTGAACTCAAACTGTATAGAAGTTAGTTAACAACTATAGCAGAGCTGAAACTCAAACCCAGGTCTACAATTATAAATTTCATGCCCTTTTCATTACCCTTCTACTCAGGAGAGCAATTGGCAGCATCCCCCTCTGTCACTCTCTCTAGAAAGCATCGCACACTGAAGCACCTTTTTGTCTCTGCCCCACCCCATCCTGAAATGCTCAGTGGACCTCCCTCTTTGAAGGCCTCTGAGCTCTGACACTGATCACAGGGTCCACTCTCCCCTGATGTATACTCCTTGTGGCTCTCAGTAACTGCTTCCATGGGTCACATCAATCAAGACATAGATAGAGAAAAAAGGCCACAGATTAGAAAGATTTCAGAAGTCAAAAGAAATGAATTATGACATAATATGAAGACTACATATTTAAAACATGGAATTACACTTTCTACCATAAACTAGAGGTTACTGGTGGTTGCAATGTTGCCTCACTGTTAACTGATGAAACCAATCAAGCTAGCATCAAACAGGTAATTGCAATAGTGAAAATACATTAAAGGTGAGTCTTACCTTCAAATTAGAAACAAGAAAACTGAAGTAAAAATAAACAATTTATAATCAAAGTTGATGACAGCATATACCCAATGGCAGCTACTTTCTACTATTTTCACAACTATAAAGTCATTTTGAATATTATTAAACAGTCCACAATAATTAAATTAATAAGATAAACTCACATTTTTACTCAAAAAGATTTTTCTTAGTTCCATTCCTTTAACTCACAGTCTAATGTAAGAAAATTTTTCATTAATTTAGTAAGTAGCTTAATAACTAATGACGCTACACCTTTTACGTGGTTCGTATATTAGATAGTTTTTAATTGTTCAGAATGACTTGATGCAAAAGTGGCCTTAGAGCTTATTTGGAGAGAGGTTGGGCCATTTGCAGATGAATCAGGCTCATCTATGGATAATATACTTTCTCAGAAATTATAAATCTTACATTTTATTATCTAAATACTAATTAATTATAAATTCTAAACTAATGTATTTAGATAGAAATCTCTAAAAAGCACTTTAATTCATCTTAATAGAAAAATGGCAGAAATAATTTTTCTGTACCCATTGAAATTTAAACCAAAGCAGGCCTACTAGTTAACTATGTGAAAGTAATGCTACCTAAATTTTGTTTCAAAATGACATAATATATATGATTTTAAACTTTTAGGAAGAAACACTAAATCTGTTAACAAACCACCTAACAGGAAGCTATTTACTCTTTAAAATAACTCAAAAAAAAACAGAAAATGTATCACTAATTCGGAGTTTCAAATAGTGCTTCAGTGCTTGAATATGGATTATATTTAGACACTAGCAAATTCAGTTACTGTGACAAAATGGGTCATGAAGTATGTGGTTTCATCTGCATTTTTAAAATTCATCATATTACACCAATGTCCCCTTTTAAAAGTGTTATTTTTCCCTTTTATATAATTTTAAGGTTCCAAATTGCTAGACATTTTGATTTGCATGCAACTGTTTGAAACATTCTGTTTTGTTAGTATGTGACAATTGTATTTATTGCATGATCATAGTTTTCCATTGTAAACCTAATATGAACACTTTCTTTTCTCATTTGTCGTGTGCTGTGGAATTTGATTTCTTTACTTTTTTGGCATTCATTCCCTCATTAGACACTGAAAGAGTTTTACCAGGTAAGGCATTATTTCACTGCATTTTCTTTTAGCCAAGAAGTAGTTGTAACATATAAAAAATACATTTTGATAGACTACTTTGTTTGTTTTATCTTCCTTTTTATATTTTAAGATACTTTGTTTAAAGAAATATGTGTTAAAAATGATATGCATACAATATTTTACAGGAAATACAGAGCTGTACTGTTGACTTAGGTATTACAGCAGACAGCTCCAACCACCCAGACAACAAGCACAAAAACCGATACATCAATATCGTTGCCTGTAAGTATATTCTCAGCTCAGTTGACTGTGCCATCATCATTGCTGTGCCATTAATCAGTGTCCTCATGTCATCTTACAGCAGACCTCAGTGGGTCTATTTCAGACCTTTGTTATCCAGGAGACAGACATGTGTTTTGTAATACATAACATTGTATGATTCCACTTAAATACATCCTGCAATCAATGATATGTTTCTTTTATACAGAACAAATTCCCATTTTAATCCAGTCCTTTCTTCAAGTCCCATAGACTGAAAATCTCTTCTTGTAGTTTCTGACATTATTTATATCACATGGTCTTATTTTGACTTAGTGTTTACTTAATTTTATGTTAATTTACTAACCAAATGAAATTCTCTTTAGACTTCCTCTTTTCTTCTCCTACCTTGTTTCTTTGCTTTCTTGATGTTCTTCCTGGGGTTTTGTAAAGGAAGAATAGGAATCCCACTTTTTATTCTTTCCTTCCCTTTGTTTTATCAGCTGTTCTCTTCATTCTCAAGGAACAGCAATGTTTTTTTCATTAATGCAGTTTTCCTTATAATTTTCCTATGAAATCATTACTTTTCTTTTCCTCTTAAGGCACTTCTTCTCTAAGTTTGTTTTCTCTTATTTTGCTTTATATTTCCCTCCATCTCTTGAAATCCTCTTCATGCTCCCTCCTCCCTCCAAAAGCAAAACAATGCAAAACAAAACCTCATATCTTTCCTCATGTATTCAGACCTACCTTGATTCATATAACCACATTTTACCAGCTAAGCTATTTAAATTCTGGTTCTGTTCTAGCTCTGGAAGCCTATGGGCTATACTCTCCTCCTTTTAATTACCATGGACTCTTAAATAGGTGTTGCCTTCCTTTCTACAGAATTACACCAATTTTACTTTTTAGTTGAGGGTTCTATTACATGTTTGTCTTCTGCAACTGAAGACAGTGTCCTGGCTGCAATTTCAGCTCTCAGGGTGAAATTGTTGTTAGATTTTTCTACAAGTGAAATATAAAATATCTACCAGGTAATTAAGGAGGGAGAGAGATTAACATTTGTTGAACATCTATTGTGTACTTGACACTATAAATGCATTATTTCATTTAATCCCTGAAATAAGCTTGCAAGATAGATAATAATGGTTCTATTTTACAGACAAAGAAAAACAAGTCAGAAATTTTTTAAAAATTAAAACTAAAATACAAAATAGATCCAAACCTATCCTTCTGTTGCCATGTCTTTATTTCCATGTAAGCTGTCTATACAACATGACCTATTATTGTCAGAAATCTTAACAAAGCTTATTACAGTCTGTATTCACTTCCTCATCCTTGGAAAGTATATTCTGCCCAGTGAAACTACAAGTCTCTTTCTAGTAATGCTTTCCTTTCTCATTATGTATATCCTGAACATAAACATAGTTTCTGTAGAACTAAAGTTAATTCTAGACTCCTTATTTCAGCCATAATTGTCAGTGCCAGAATCACCTCTTCTGTAGCTGGACATGTGTCCTCCTGCCTCCCTTTCTGATGACTCCTCTTTGGGGCTTTTTTCTTGAATAGAGAGAATAGGATTTTGGGTAGCCATTCACAGGAAGTCCCAAGGGTTCTTCTGCTTCCTTTGCTACTGCCTGTTCCTCCAGCATCCTCCTGTGCAGAGCATGTCTCCTGCAGTCCTTCCTTGGCTTTTTGGGACTCCAGTCACTCTTCTTTCTTGTTGAGTGGCTCTCCACTGTTCACAGCCCTAGTATCATTTAAAAACACTTCTAAATTGCCAATTTCAGATTCCAAACTCTGAAAACTTGTGTTATCATTCCATAGCAATGCACTTTCTGCCTTCACATCCCCTATTGCACTGTGCACCTCCCTCTTGACATCAGGACATTGCTTTCTGAGTACATGTCCTAATCTTACCTACTACGTTAGAAAATTTCTTAAAAGCAGTGATTCTTATTCTTTGTCAAAGGCTATTAAACTAAATTATTTTGTGTTGATTTTAATTGCATAAAATAAATCACAATAAAAACACAAATGACCTTTAGTCTGAACAGTAGTCGTCTGTGCCTTGGTAAAATATATTCTTTTTTTATTCCAGATGATCATAGCAGAGTGAAGCTTGCACAACTTATTGAAAAAGATGGAAAACTCACGGATTACATCAATGCCAATTATGTTGATGTAAGCATGTTTGATTTCAAATTTTATGGTCACTTCATCGGAACCTAAATTTATTATGCCATAATGCTGTATATATACCATTGTGTAATACATGTAATTTGCTTTATAATGAAAATACAAATAAGCAGTAAGTAATTTTTTAAGAGCTCTTATGAATAAGGGTTTCAGATTGGACAACACTGTAATATTAATTTTCTGAACAAGGGAGAGAATTTAGGCCAGGAGTGTGCATTCAAGGTAGAATATGTATATTGAGATAGATTTGAGGGGCAAACTTGATTCTTATTTTGAATTTACCATAGCTCCTGACACAACATTATACAGATATCCAATAACCAATAAATCCTGAGAAATTCCCGTGGTATTACTAACTAATAGGCAAACGTGATTATTAAGCCAGTTTTCAGCCTTTATTATTCTGAGTACCACTCGAGATACCCAGCCTGCATGAATTTACAGGAGCTCTCGAAAGATTGTAGGTCACTCACTAACTCACTGTTTTTCACTGCCTTTCAACTGAATGTCAGCAGAACTCAGTTATTTCCCTGACCTTGACCTCAAAGTGTAGTTGTTTCGATCAGGTTAATGATATATGAAACATTGAAGTCAAGGAAGTGGGTTTGTTATGGGCAGTCATTTCATGCTTTCAAATAAAGCAATGTGTTGTACCAGAAAGAATGTGGACTTTAGAGTTATAACTGATTTTGAATCCCAGCTCTGCCACTAGCTATCAGCAGGACCTTGGAAATTCACTTTATGCTTCCAAGGTTCTGTTTCCAAATTCAGGGATGATGCTTCTATTTTAGATGGATGAAGGATTCGGTTAATGTTTGTAAAGCATCTTGCCTATGATGAGTGGTCAGTAGAGGCATCTATTAATGATCAGCCCTGCTCAGTACCACTGAGGATAGGAAGGAGGTCATGACCCCAGAGGTTTCTAGTTATTCATTTATTCATTCATTCATTCATTTGTCAGTACTGGGGTTTGAACTCAGGTCCTCATGCTTACTAGGCAGGCACTCTACAACTTTAGCCATGCCCCCAGCCCCTCCAGAGGTTTCTTAAAATCTGTGGATAACCAAGTCTTATTGCCTGAAATACATTTCAAAACAATTAAGTACAATTAAGGAACCAGATTTTCAGCACAGTAAATAGAATCAGATCAAATACACTTGGAAGAAAGAAGTAGAAAATTGTAGTGTATTAAAGAGAACTCTCATTATTTTTATGCAAAAATTATAGTTAAGGAAAAAATTGCTGTCTTTGTTAATATTATCACCTTTGTCCAGCTTTGCAAGTTTATTTTTTATAGCTTTTTGTTATTAAAGACTTAAAGCCTTAAGTATTACAAGGTTTAAAATAGCATATAATTCAGTTAATGAGAAATATTTCCCATTTCTTTCTTCAGGGTTACAACAGACCAAAGGCTTACATAGCTGCCCAGGGCCCACTGAAATCCACAGCAGAAGACTTCTGGAGAATGATATGGGAGCACAATGTGGAAGTTATAGTCATGATAACGAACCTCGTGGAGAAAGGAAGGGTATGTGGATCATCTATTGTGTCTCTTCCTGACAGCAATTAGATCTGCTTTCAATTAGTCTTAGTTCAGTCATCATTAGGAAGCAGGAAAAGTAATGAAAGCTAATCAGGATTCCTTCTTGGCAAGTATGACAGCTAAAGGGAAACTTTTGGCACTGTAGGTCAAAAGTTCCATTAGGAGTCAAGCCCTCTGCTTCTTCAATGCATTCTTTACACCATGAGGAAAAATAAGGGGGACTCAATTGAGAAGCAGTGCAAAGTGAAATAGATTTCAATTCATGGGACCTGGATTCAAATGCTGGTTCAATAGTAAGTCAATATCTCTGACCTCACTTTCATTATCTGAAAGGGGAAGATAAGACAAGACCATCTCAAGTCTCTTTGAGTTCTATGATTGTATCCCTGGTCTTCTCTACAACCAATTTACGATCACAATATTTGGACTAGTTCATTCCTATCACTGTTTCAAACTTTTACCAATTTCAGGAATAACTTTTGCATCAAACACTTGAAATATCGAAATTGCATCTTTATTTTCTTTTTTGCAGAGAAAATGTGACCAGTACTGGCCTACTGATGGTAGTGAAGAATACGGGAACTTTCTAGTCAATCAGAAGAGTGTTCAAGTGCTAGCCTATTATACTGTGAGGACTTTTACTCTAAGAAACACAAAGATTAAAAAGGTAAGTCAACAAATGATGAATATATCCTACCAACAGATGAATGGATAAGAAAAATAATATATATAATACACATACAAAAAGGAATAGTCTTCAGTCTTAAAAAAGGATTTCACTTAAAAAAATTAAATACTGTCATTTGTGACAACTTGGATAAACCTGTAGGACATTATGTTAAATGACATAGCCAGGCACAAAAAGACAACACAGTATCTCACTTATGTGTAAAATCTAAGAAAGCAAAACTCACAGAAGCAGAGTAGAATGATGGTTACCAGGGGCTTCGAATGAAGAGAATTGGGGTGATGTTGGTTAAAGGATGCATGATTTCAGTTAGATGTAGGAATAAGTTCAATAGACCTATTATATACTATGTTGACTGTAGTTAATAACAATGTATTATGTACTTAAAAATTACTGAAAGAGTAGATATGAAGTGTTCTCACTAAGAAAATAAGTATGCTAATTAGCTTGATTCAGCCATCCAGCAATGCTGTACAGTTCAAATCATGTTTATGTTGTATGTAATAAATGCATACAACTTTTATTTCTCAATTAAAATAATTTTTAAAAAGTAAAACAAGGGATGAGTATGTCATCAATTGTTTAATGCATTCAATCCTTTTTTAAAATGTTGGGTAACATAACCAAGACAAGGTAAAAACTGTATGACTAACATCACTAAAAGTTCTTATCACAGCTATACCTCAATCCTAAAAGTTTCTTCCAAGTATCTAAATATCAGCTACAGCTTTGGAACTAGACTAGTCATAGTACCCATGGCTGCAGAATGTGATGAAGGAACAAAAATTACTGCCTCACACAGCCATTTCACTAATACAATTCATACAACTGAAGTGCAGAGATTGAAATACATAAAGAGAAAAAATTACCCCCAAGTAGTGTATTATTCAGGATTACAAGAGAAATAGAACCAATAGGATGGATGGATGGATGGATGGATGGACAGATTTTCTGTAAGTATTGATTCATACTAATTGGGAATTAGCAAGTCTGAAATCTGCAGGGAATGTTTGCAGCTTGGAAATTCAGGTAAGTTTATGATGCAGTCTAGAACTCAAATTAATCAAAATATCAGGGTGGACATTCCAGCAGGGTTTCTGTATTGTAGTCTTGTGGAGAATCTCTTCTTCAGGAAACCTCAGTCTTTTCTGTTAAGGCCTCAACTATTTGCACAAGTTTCACCCACATTATGGAGGGCAATCTGCTTTACTCAAAGTCCACTGATTTAAATGTTAATTGCATCTTTACAAAACCACTTTCACTACATCCGGTGTAACTAGTGTTTAACCAAACAACTTGACCAAACAACCAACCCAAGTGGGCACATAAAATTGATCATCACAAATGAAAATGTACTTTTGTTTGCTTTATTAAACCTGCAGCCTCAAAGTATGAATCTTGGATTGGAGTGTGTGCATGTGTGTGCGTGTGCGTGTGTCTTTTACTGTTCTCGACTGTTTAAACTCTTCCAGGGCTCCCAGAAAGGAAGACCCAGTGGGCGCTTGGTCACACAGTATCACTACACTCAGTGGCCTGACATGGGCGTGCCAGAGTACTCCTTGCCAGTGCTGACCTTTGTGAGAAAGGCAGCCCATGCCAAGCGCCATGCTGTTGGACCCATTGTCGTCCACTGCAGGTGAGGCTCAGAGATGTGCTTCTAAACTCAGAGAACTGCTTATGCTAACAGAAAGGAAATCAATGGAATGAAGTTTTGCCAAAATGGGAATGGTTTCATGAAAGGATGGGGTGAAATTGAATGTCTATTTTCATAAGTATTGATTATTAGGAAATGAGAATGCTAGACTAGAAATTTGATGATTTTTATGATGTTTGTTATTCTATTTGATTGCTGAATTGGATTTCAATTTATTAACGGTGAGAGGCAGGTAGAATATGCTTGTCCTTAAATATTTATTTCAACATATAACACCATAGGATAAAAATGCTTGAGATACAGGCCCTGTTCTAAGAGTTATTTTTCTATGATAGGAACATTAGAGAAAACAAAGCATACAAACTGTGAGGAATTTGGCAATATAAGCTAAGGTTTTTAAACAATTCGAGACCAAAATTCTTTTTTCTATTTTCCTAAGTTCTTTCTACTATATTACGTTGACTGTATTATCAATTTATTTTCCCTCAAGAACTTTAATTTCCAAGAATGGGTTGATAAATAGCAATAATGGTATTACAAAGAAAAAGAAAAAATTAATAATGTAATATTATCTAATATAATCTAATACAGTAATCTAACATTTTTTCAGTAAAATGACAGCAATTAGTATTCACTGACCGCGTGCCAAGTTTTATGAGCACAAAAATCAAGTTGATTTCTATGTGCAGTATTTTGGTCAAAGAAGGATCTATGTTTTTACAGAAACAAGTGATTTCTTTTGACACACAGCTTATCTGACACATTCTAATTACCTATCTTGGGAATTATTCTCAAAGTTTGAGAGACCCATCTTGAGTTTTTTCATCTGTTAGCCTGTCGATAAGCTGAGGAAAACCAGGAGATGCAAGAAAAATAGCTCTGAAGGTCAGGGATTGTTTCTTAGTAAATGGAGAAGGACAGGGCAATTGTGCAGAGCAGGTGCTAATTTTGTTGTAGCGCTTCCTACTTGCCAGACATTTGAAAAGAATCCCTGTCTGTGAATTCTGTCCCTCTGACAGAGGCTTTGAAGAAGTTGACAGATAATGGCCCTTTAGAAATGATTGAAGTTATGCTTTATTCCCCACAATCTCACTGAAATAATATTTTCAGCTGAAAGCTTTATCAAATTCTTTTTCCCATTAATGTGGAAATCTTTACAAACATGTCTATCTGGCAACACAGACCCGGAGACCTTTCTTTTTCAGAATTTGGCAAAGCTCATTCTTTCATTTTTCTCAGATTAAATGTCTATTTACTATGCCATGATACATAATATTGTCATTGTGTAACACATAATAAACAATAAATATAATTGTTGCAAATTTTTTAAATTTCCCACAGAAATAATTAGGTTGCTTTGCAGTTTAACTCAGAGCAAAAAAAAAAAATTAAAAGGAATTGTTTTAATTTATTGTTTAAAGCATTTTGCTTAGCTCCTAAACTGTTAACAGTTTTAGATTTCTAAATTTATTAGGTGGTTATTTGCTTGAGAAAGGAAATGATTTTAATCATAACATTCAATAGTGACCTATTTTGAAATTTATTTTACAATTGACATTGAAATATTTCTCTGTTCAGCGCTGGTGTTGGAAGAACAGGCACATACATTGTGCTAGACAGCATGTTGCAACAAATTCAGCACGAAGGAACTGTCAATGTATTTGGCTTCTTAAAACATATCCGGTCACAAAGAAATTATTTGGTGCAAACTGAGGTATTGTTTTTAAAATATAACTTTGTTCATCTAAGGTATGGAAGTGTCACCAAAATGTGTTAGTCTCCTAGGATACTCATAACCCAGTACTAACAACTGAATGGCTTTAAACAATGAACTTATTTTCTCAGGGCCTGGAGTCTGAAAGTCTGATAGCAAGTTGTTGTCAGGGCCATGCTCCTTCAGACACTTTTGGAGTGGACACTTTCTTGCCCCTTCTGGTCTGTGGCCCCATGTTTTCCTTGGCTCGTGGCAGCATCACTGCAGTCTCTGCCTCATTCTTAACATGTCTGTCTTCCCTCTGTGTCCAAGCTTCCCTCTTCTTATAAGGATACCAGTCACCCCCTATGCCAGTTGACCTCATGTAAGCTAATTGTGTCTGCAATGATCCTCTTTATATATTTGGAGTTACTGTTGGGTTTGGGGGGCACAATTCAATGCATAACACAAGTAACTAAAAATATGTCATGGATGGGCCAGCAAAATTTTGTCTGTTTTGTGACCAAATTGGAAATATCTTTCAAATGAGAATCATGACAAAGATCCAGAAAAAGAGTTAGTGAACAGTCAGCTCTCATCTCTGCTGGCAAAAACCTCAAATTTTTCATATATATATAGCAAACTGATGGATTTGGTTTTCTATTTAAAAAACATGAATTATATTCAAATTATAGGTCTTTTAAGGCCCATGTAATTTGATCATTTCTAACACAAAAGAGAGTTTGCAAATTTGGATGTTATTTTTACTATCTAAATAAAAAATGAATTTAAGTTGAAAACTGGATGCTGGCTAAGACAATCAGAAACATTGCTGATTGGGCTTCAAAAACCAAACTTCCATCAAGGAAATGACCTCCTGGTCAAACAAGACCACAGAAGTCCCATATGGGACATTTCACATATGTGAAATGTAAGAGAGTTATTAAAAACTCGATAAAATTGAGCTAACATACATGACAGACTACCAGAAGAGTTGGAGTAACCAGAAGGGGAAGTGCACCAGAAATACAGGAGTCAAGGAAGTAAGTCCTCAAGGGAAGCATGCAGGTGTCAGGACTGAAGGAGAGCTAGGGAGGACATAATGGTGTTTTTCCCAAATCTTCCTGCCTCCTACCCACAAGTGTCAACATAGGATAAAGAAAGAGGAGGTATGAAAACTGCTCACTTCTCTCTTGGCCGCCTCCTTTCCTCTGTCTGACTTACTGTCAGGCCTAGTAAGCAACTCCCTCTCACCAGCAACTTTGTGAAGCTCTTTCTGTCTGTTAGTGGAAGGTTCTACTTTTCTACCTAGATATGTATATGGCAATTTGAAGTGTCATTATTGTTTTTTCAGGAACAGTATGTCTTCATTCATGATACACTGGTTGAAGCCATACTCAGCAAGGAAACTGAAGTGCTAGACAGTCATATTCATGCTTATGTTAATGCAATCCTCATTCCAGGACCAACAGGCAAAACAAAACTAGAGAAACAATTCCAGGTGAGTTCTCCTGGACACCTGTTAGACGTCACCACAGAACTAAACAGCACTACGTCACCTCATTTAATTTGACAAGACCACTGAATGTGCTGACAGCATTGTTGGAATAATCCTTGTCCTTTACAATAGGTTACAGGCCATGCATAGATTTTAAGGAGAAACTTAATTCTGTGTAGCAAAAGCAATATTTCTTGGAAACCCAGACTAACTTACATAAATGCAGAATTGGCCCAGGAAAGGAGGGCACAGAGCATAACAGAATGAACAGACAGAACTTATAAACTAGATAAGTGCTCCTTTTGCTTTGAACAAACCAGACCACTTAAACATGAGTGTTGTGGCTCAAGCCATTCCTGCTGCTCTTTGGAAAAGTTTGTGTCTCACTTGAAACTCTCTAGACCAGAGTAGGCCACCACAGAACAATAGCTTCTTCAGTCCCAGTTTCTCCCACTCACCTATCTGGAGGCAGTAAACCAGAGAGAAGAACATGTTTTGTTTGGTACAATACCTCCTGCAATTCTAGCTCTCTGGCTTTCAGAAATCAATAAGCGATGATTTCAGAAAGCAGGTGTTAGCAGATGTGTGGCTGGGACCAGAGAAGTTGCAGAATGCTAACTAGCCACAGGAGTGTGGCTATTATTTCACTCCATACAATTCTTATACTATCCTCTGACTTCTCAGGATTCCTGAAGAAATAGAGCCAATTTCTGAAGAAAGGCTATATAGGAAGAATATGTAATACTCTGGGGAAAAAAAAGGAGACTTAGCAAACCTTGAGATTCCACTTTTTTTTTTTCACTCTCTCTCCCAGCCTATGAGACAGAAGATATTAGTCACCGTGAATCCCCTCAGGCCTTGAACAGTCTTATAATTACCTTTTGTGCTCTTGAAGATACAAAAGAAAGATTGGGTTGAATACCGAACTTAGAAACTTTTCAGGAAGACAAATGTCTTCCTCAGACAGGCTTGTCTGAGTAGTGAAGGAATGTTTTGGGGAAAGAAAAAGTCTGTGGTTTGGGTTCCAGAAACAGATAGTGAAGAAATGTAAAACATTAAAATTAGGTTAAGATGGTTTTTGTATAAATGAAAAGCCATCTTAGCAGCCAAATTTTAATGTATACCACCTATTTTCAACAGAATACTCATTTAAATATGCTTTTCCCCTACACAATTGCATAAAAGAATTGATATGGCTTAAGCTGAACAATACAAATTAAAATGGAAATTAAAAATGGAAACCTAAGATCAGAATCCAATTAAAAAGGTAAATATTTGAATCTTTCCTATTTACATCATAAACAGGGATCCATATGTATATTGTCCTATCAACAAAAAAGGTATTCATCCAAGCTTATCCATAAAAAAAGTCCTTAAACCAAATTACATATCTATTTATTTCACAGATATTTATCAGATACCTATTAGATGCTTCTTTGCTGGTACTAGAATATAAACATGTTTTAGAGAGTGAAAGAGAGAGAAAACACACCTATCTCCTACTCTCATGGCACTTGCCATCTAGTGGGAGATAAAGGTAGGAAAATAGAGAGACCTAAGACACTACAAAAAGTGCCATTTAGATGTAAAATAGGATTCTGTAGGTGAACAGGTAAAGATGCAACTTAGGGAAGAATTGTATGGGGCAAATAATTGATCACAGGACTTATGAAACACTACAGTGGGGAGAGAAAAGACACAAAGCATAACTACTCAGATTCTGGTGTGGATAACTGGGAAGTAGATATCATTCACTGTGGTTAAGAATTCAGAAAGAGGAGGTACATGCTTAAGAATATGGTGAGAGAGAAGATTGTAAGATATATGGAACAAAAAGCCACATCTGGAGATGGTTTTCTTGCTAGCAAAGCCCCAGGCTGAGGGTATCAGATGGCAAGGGACAGGAAGTATGTGTGTGTGTGTGTGTGTGTGTGTGTGTGTGTGTGTGTTTCTTAGTCTCTCTCCTTTTTTTTTTTTTCATTTTTCTTTTATTATTCATATGTGCATACAAGGCTAGGTTCATTTCTCCCCCCTGCCCCCACCCCCTCCCTTACCACCCACTCCTCCCCCTCCCTCTCCCTGACCCTCAATACCCAGCAGAAACTATTTTGCCCTTATTTCTAATTTTGTTGTAGAGAGAGTATAAGCAATAATAGGAAGGAACAAGGGTTTATGCTGGTTGAGATAAGGATAGATATACAGGGCATTGACTCACATTGATTTCCTGTGCGTGGGTGTTACCTTCTAGGTTAATTCTTTTTGATCTAACCTTTTCTCTAGTACCTGTTCCCCTTTTCCTATTGGCCTCAGTTGCTTTAAGGTATCTGCTTTAGTTTCTCTGCGTTAAGGGCAACAAATGCTAGCTAGTTTTTTAGGTGTCTTACCTATCCTCACCCCTTCCTTGTGTGCTCTCGCTTTTATCATGTGCTCATAGTCCAATCCCCTTGTTGTGTTTGCCCTTGATCTAATGTCCACATATGAGGGAGAACATACGATTTTTGGTCTTTTGGGCCAGGCTAACCTCACTCAGAATGATGTTCTCCAATTCCATCCATTTACCAGCGAATGATAACATTTCGTTCTTCTTCATGGCTGCATAAAATTCCATTGTGTATATATAGATACCACATTTTCTTAATCCATTCATCAGAGCTGGGGCATCTTGGCTGTTTCCATAACTTGGCTATTGTGAATAGTGCCGCAATAAACATGAATGTGCAGGTGCCTCTGGAGTAACAGTCTTTTGGGTATATCCCCAAGAGTGGTATTGCTGGATCAAATGGTAGATCGATGTCCAGCTTTTTAAGTAGCCTCCAAATTTTTTTCCAGAGTGGTTGTACTAGTCTACATTCCCACCAACAGTGTATGAGGGTTCCTTTTTCCCCGCATCCTCGCCAACACCTGTTGTTGGTGGTGTTGCTGATGATGGCTATTCTAACAGGGGTGAGGTGGAATCTTAGCGTGGTTTTAATTTGCATTTCCTTTATTGCTAGAGATGGTGAGCATTTTTTCATATGTTTTCTGGCCATTTGAATTTCTTCTTTTGAGAAAGTTCTGTTTAGTTCACATGCCCATTTCTTTATTGGTTCATTAGTTTTGGGAGAATTTAGTTTTTTAAGTTCCCTGTATATTCTGGTTATCAGTCCTTTGTCTGATATAGTGGCAAATATTTTCTCCCACTCTGTGGGTGTTCTCTTCAGTTTAGAGACCATTTCTTTTGATGAACAGAAGCTTTTTAGTTTTATGAGGTCCCATTTATCTATGCTATCTCTTAGTTGCTGTGCTGCTGGGGTTTCATTGAGAAAGTTCTTACCTATACCTACTAACTCCAGAGTATTTCCTACTCTTTCCTGTATCAACTTTAGAGTTTGGGGTCTGATATTAAGATCCTTGATCCATTTTGAGTTAATCTTGGTATAGGGTGATATACATGGATCTAGTTTCAGTTTTTTGCAGACTGCTAACCAGTTTTCCCAGCAGTTTTTGTTGAAGAGGCTGCTTTTCTCCATCGTATATTTTTTAGCTCCTTTGTCAAAGATAAGTTGGTTATAGTTGTGTGGCTTCATATCTGGGTCCTCTATTCTGTTCCACTGGTCTTCATGTTGTTTTTGTGCCAGTACCATGCTGTTTTTATTGTATTGCTTTGTAATATAGTTTGAAGTCAGGTATTGTGATACCTCCTGCATTGTTCTTTTGACTGAGTATTGCCTTGGCTATTCGTGGCCTCTTGTGTTTCCATATAAATTTCACAGTAGATTTTTCAATCTCTTTAATGAATGTCATTGGAATTTTGATGGGAATTGCATTAAACATGTAGATTACTTTGGGAGTATCGACATTTTTACTATGTTGATTCTACCAATCCATGAGCATGGGAGATCTCTCCACTTTCTATAGTCTTCCTCAATCTCTTTCTTCAGAAGTGTATAGTTTTCCTTGTAGAGGTCTTTCACATCTTTTGTTAGGTTTACACTAGGTATTTGATTTTTTTTGAGGCTATTGTAAATGGAATTGTTTTCATACATTCTTTTCGTTTGCTCATTGTTAGTGTATAGAAATGCTAATGATTTTTCTATGTTGATTTTATATCCTGCTACCTTGCTATAGCTATTGATGATGTCTAGAAGCTTCTGAGTAGAGTTTTTTGGGTCTTTAAGGTATAGGATCATGTCATCTGCAAATAGGGATATTTTGACAGTTTCTTTACCTATTTGTATTCCTTTTATTCCTTCTTCTTGCCTAATTGCTCTGGCTAGGAATTCCAGTACTATGTTGAATAGGAGTGGAGATAGTGGGCATCCTTGTCTGGTTCCTGATTTTAGAGGGAATGGTTTTAGTTTTCTCCATTAAGTATAATGCTGGCTGTAGGTTTGTCATATATAGCTTTTATAATGTTGAGGAACTTTCTTCTATTCCTAGTTTTCTTAGAGCTTTTATCATGAAATGGTGTTGGATCTTATCAAAGGCTTTTTCTGCATCTATTGAGATGATCAAGTGGTTTTTGTCTTTGCTTCTATTAATGTGGTTTATTACGTTTATTGATTTTCGTATGTTGAACCACCCCTGCATCCCTGGGATGAAGCCTACTTGGTCGTGGTGAATAATCTTTTTGATGTGTTGCTGAATTCGATTTGCCATTATTTTGTTGAGGATTTTTGCATCAATGTTCATTAAGGAGATTGGCCTGTAGTTCTCCTTTTTGGGGGTGTCTTTGCCTGGTTTTGGGATACGTGTAATACTGGCTTCATAAAATGTGTTTGGCAGTTTTCCTTCCCTTTCTATTTCATGGAACAGTTTAAGGAGGGTTGGTATCAGTTCTTCTTTAAAGGTCTGATAGAATTCAGCAGAGAATCCATCAGGTCCTGGACTTTTCTTTTTGGGGAGACTCTTGATTGCTGCTTCAATTTCATTTTGTGTTATAGGTCTATTCAGGTGATTAATTTCCTCTTGGTTCAGTTTTGGATGATCATATGTATCTAGAAATCTGTCCATTTCTTTTAGAT